CCCAGTCTGCCAGTCTGCCCGTCTCCTCCCGGTAAACCCACGAAAGGTGGCAAAATTTTCGCGCGAAAATGAAGATTTCTCTTATCAGAGTAGAGACTCCCAGCTGCAGTCTGCAGTCTGAATCTCTCTCTCTCTCCATCTTTCTCCCCCTCCGTTTCTCTGGCAGTCTCTCTATCTCTCTTTTGGGGCTGCTTGCTCACGTTTTTCAATTTCTGCTGCTTCTCTCTCTGGCCCCGAAAAAAAAGAATCCCCGATCTTCGATTGGCCTTGCAAAAATTTGTTTAATTATACTGAAAGAAGTGGGGAAAAGAATCTTTCGCCAGAGCATGGGAACTTCAGGGGGGATGTTCTCTAAAGAGGGGGGGTATAGGAAATTGGGGAAGGAATAAAATCGGACGTAGACTTATTGTGTGCTTAAACTGCTTCGAATTGTAGGATTCTCATTTAAGGAGCGTTTACATTAAAATGCATCTGGCGGAGGGTTTAATATTTAAATATATTTAAAATATTTAATATATTTAAAAACGTTTATTAGTGGCAGGCAATGTGCAAAATACTGAAAGGCTTTCCCCTATTTCAATCGCAATAGAAGGTTATATATTTCACATTATTTAATTTCTGTGGAGTCCAACAATCATTTGAAAAAATTAATAATATTAAAATAATATTCTTTAAGCATTAATTTTTTAATTTCTTATTTTCTGTTCATTTCTGTTGCCCCATTTAAATAGCGACTGTTTTCCCATAATTGCTCCACTTTCCAGCTCTAATTTCTCCCATTAAAGTGCTAGAAATGCCTCCCTGAAAATGCCTTCCAGAAACCCAACAGAAACCCAGAAATTATTCCCCCTTGCCATAACGCAGACGCCCCCGCAGCGGCACAGCCAGAGTGCACCTTCTGCTGGCAGCTAACTTGGCTAACTTTTGCCTGGCCAGACGCCCTGGCGACGTTGCTCTTGGTCTTAGACCCAGCCTAGACACCCGAGCCGAGTGTGTGTTTTCCCCAAGGTTGCCACCAAGCGGCGCATCTCTGCGGAGATCTGGCATCGAGTCCGAAATGAGCTTCGCCTTTGGGTGCTACGCGGGGTTCAGTCGTTGGGTTTTCTGACCCCAAACGATTAGCAGCGACGGCGGTCCGATGGCTGAGAACCCAGCGACAAATGAAACAAAAGGGTCCCGGGATCCATGCAGCATGCAGCATGCACCATGCACCTGCACCCACCCCCCCCCTGCCCTCTGTGTTGCCCCCTGTGCCTGCTGCCCGTTGCCAGTTGAAGCTGTTTCTGGCCAAGATCGGGGCACACCAAATTGTTCGATTGTTTATGGCTGGCAACAACGCCCACCGCAGCCGCCGAGTGGCAGTGTGGCGGAGTGGCAGAGTGGAGCGTCCAAAAGTGAGAAACCGGCAACAATCATCTGCCGGCTGATAAAGTGCCACAGAGATCCCCCTGCCCCTACTGCACCACTCTCTGCGCAGTCTTCCTCTGTGTGTTTGTGTCGCTTATCGGCGAGGATCGATCGCAGTTGCAACCACAAAGAGGACAGAGAGGGAGAGAGGCAGAGAGAGAGAGAGGGAGCAGAGTGGAGCACTGGCCAAGTCGCAGAGTCGCAGTGTGGAGAAACGGCGGCGAAGCTGATTTAACAAATTGATAAACAATTGTTGGCGTTGGCCACACTGTAAGTCTCTCTCCCTTCCTCTCTCTCTCCCTTCCTCTCTCTCTCTCTCTATGTGTGTGTGAGGGGCAAGTGGCAGAGGGGGGGGTGGGGCAGTTGGTGTGGGGCGGCGTAACGTTACGAAATGGCTAAACAAACGATCGCCCTGCCGATCAGAGACCGCGAGAGCCGTAAGCCGTAAGCCGTAAGCCGCGAGGCCTCAGTTTCACAGTTCCTTTGAATATGTTTCCAGATTCGAAATCGAATTCTGGTCGTAGCCTTGGCATTCCGCCACGCACTAGCAGAGGGATGTGGGGGTTGGACACGACAGGGGGGATATAGACAATATACAAATTAAAGTTAAAGCTAGCTCCTTCGATTGTGGCTGATTCCGTTGTGTGGGATTTAAATGGGAATTTCTCTTAGGATAGCAGATGGAGCAAAGAGATTTGAATATGTGTTTGTATGTATATCTTGGTAGATAATATTCAGAAAGTAAGGAAATTTCCAATGTACTGTATATTCCTGTATGTTCAATATTCCTTAGTACTCATGCGATTCCAAATGAGGTAAATTATATGTACAAATTATTGCAAATGAAAAATTATTGGATTGAACAAAGAAAGAGCGTCAACTAGTGATAAAAGCGGCAATCCATAAATGATTCCTTTCGAAAAGATTTCAACGGCGTGAAAGGTTATTTATTAATTTAATTATTTAATTAATTAATTAATTTATTAATCATTATACCGTACTCAAAAAGAGTTAAGGACTAAGGGTTAGGGGTATTCGATTTGTGGTAAAAGTCGAGAGAGAATGACACGTTTCCGACCCCATAGGGTACATATATTCCTGATCAGCATCAATAGCCGCGTCTATGTCTGTCTGTCAGTATTATAGCCAGTATAAAGAAATTAATTTTCTGTTGCTTCCCCCACCTCCTCCAGCTCGAGACCACGCCACTCATTCTCTTTCTCGCTCGCACACACTCTGCCCTATGCAGTGCGCGACTTTTCGCAGAGAAGATGTAGAATCTAGATTTCAGATGTAGAATAAACATGTTAGATGTAGATGACAGATGTAGTAAAAAATTTTAAAGTTCTACATAAATCATGAGCTCACAAATTTATATACTGACTGAGTACGCGTATAAAAGTAGAGTCGCGTCCACAGAAGCGACTCACACATTCCTTCTCGTTTTTGACTATGAATATTACGGTAGTAAGCTCTGCCTGCTTCTGCTATTTGAATGTCTATGTGTGCGTGCACACGTATTTATATTTAATTTACTCTCTCATTATCCTCGTTCAACTGCCCGTGCCCGTGTGTTGTATAACTTTTTGTCAGTAGCTTTTACAAATTTAACACTATTTTTTTGTTGGTAAAACACTTGAAGTCTAGTGTTGAATTTCTTTTCCGATATACTTTTATTTCTCATTTACTTAGGAACTGTGAGGAACTATAACTAAAAGGTTCCTCAAGTGACCACAAATGTACCTACCATCATTTTCCCTTTCAATCCCACAAATATATATTTTATTTTGGGGCATGCCCAGAACTTGTTGAATTCAGCCACAATGCAATGCAATGCAATGCAACGATGATGAGCTGCAAAGCGAAGTACTCGTAAGCGCTGGGGCATAAAGGTAACTGGGGGACTGAGGCCTGGGTGATGGCACTCTCGAGAGACAATCGTTGGAGCAAATCTGCTGCACTGTTGCTGCAACTTGGGCCTAATCCTCAGCAGCAGCAGCAGCAGCAGCAGCAGAGGCGCACAGGCGGCAGCTGTCGCTAGGGGGCAGAGCTTCAGCTGGGAAGTTGGATCTGGAGGAGCAGCAGAAGAGTTCAGAGGCAGCGTCAGAGTCAGGAGAAGTCGAAGGTAGAGGCCCAAACCAAACCAAAACCAAAACCGAAACCAAACCATTGTTAGCGTCTTCTCCCGTTTGTTGCGCTCTATCGGCGCTCGGCCATCTCTCTCCTTCAGTGGGGCTTTGCGAGCTGCTGCTGCTGCTGCGCTGCGGACAAAACACTTTACGTGTGCGGCTTATCGCAACCCAATCGAAGGCAATAAATATCTTACAAATAAGCAGAATGCCTCGGAATGCCTTGCACAAGGGTCTCCCTTGTGCCCCTGCCACTGCCCCGCTGCCCCTGACTCTGTGTGTCCCTCTCTCTGCGCTTCCTCTCCCTGGGAGTTGATTCTTCTAAACCGATTGCTCACGTGCAGAATTGTGTGAATTCGTGAAGAATCGACGGCGGCAATTAGGGCGGCCCGTCAATACAACATTTCGGCAAACTGTTTTTTTGTTTTTGTTTTTTGTTTTGTTTTTTTGCTTTGCGGTCAGTTGCAAGTGCGTCAGTGGCATGGCATTCAAAAGACTCTGGCGACGAACTTGTGCCTCGGTCTGGGACTCTCTTCTTCTGTGGCTTTGCTCTCTCTCTCTCTCTCTCTCTTTCTCTTTCGCTGAGAGATGGGCTGACATTTCAATAGCCAGCAATTGACAGGTCAACGCGCAGCTTTTGCTGCTGCTGCTGCTCCCTCGCGGGGATTGTGGCAGAGAGCGAGAGAGCAGTGGGGCCCGCACGAGCAGCAACAGCAAGAGTCCAAAAGATGTCGAATTTCTGGCGAAGCGATGCAAACTCGTCCTTATCCAGAGCCTTCATCTATGGCCCAGGCTCAGGCTGACTGGCCTGGCCATTCCATGTGTGTGCCACAGCCACATCCACATCCACATCCATGTCGCATGTCCCATGTCCCTGTCCATGTTGCAAGTTGCATTCTGTTGCAGTTGTGGCACACAGATGCCCACAATCTCGGCCAGCATCGACCAATGGGTCGTTATAATATTTCTGCTGCCGCCGCTGCCGCTGCTGCGACTTGCGGCAGAAACAAATCAGATGTCAGTGGATGTTCGGCGGATCCTGAGGCCCTAATCATCAGCGGCAAAGGCCACCATGTGGCAGTCAGGCAGTCAGGCAACGGCTGTTGCAGCCGCTTTTCCGCCACAGCCGCGTTTTCCGCGTATACGAAGAGATGGCCAGCGTGGATAAACGTAGACCAGAGGCCGAAGATCCACTGCACAGACGCTTGTCTGCCAGAGATGGAAGTTAGGGGCAGTGGCAGGAACAGGAGCAGGGGCTGCTGCTGCTGTGTGCTGTGGGGGGTGGGGGTTCGTTCCTCTTGTCGCATTGTTTTCACAGCTCTTGCAGCTCCGACTCCGCGACACTGACAATTTGTTTGATAATAATTGCCTAAGCCTGCCGCCTCCTCCATTGGAGGCTTCCCGGAATGCCACTTAACCCGCTCTAATGAATCCCTCTCTCCCCTTCTGTTTCGCCCCCTGCAGATTCCAAAGATTTAACCGCTCAGGAACTGGGCGAAGAAAAGCAGCAGCAACAGCAGCAGCAGCAGCAGCAGCAGGAGGACGATCCAATGGATCTGCAGGACAACAACAACAACAGCGATGCAGATGGCGATGCCGATGCCGATGCCGATGCAGATGCAGAGGATAGGGACAGCATCCAGCCAGAAGAGACTCAGGATTTGGGGGAAACAGAAATGGAGCACAGCCAGTTGGAGGAGGAACGGCAGCAGGCAGAGGCAGCGCCCATCAGTAGTCCCAGTACACCGCCACGCAGTCCTACGCCCAGCGGCATTCTGGTGCCAAAGCTGGAGCAGCCAGCGACACCCCCATCAGCGTCAGAGTCGCCATCGCCGAGTCCCTCGCCAACGCCCACGCCCACGCCCACACCGAGGCTACCCAAACTGCGCCTCAATGCGCTGCTCGCCTCGGATCCCGCCCTGAAGCCCGACGCCAAGGAGCTGCATCTGTCGGACAAGCGTCTGCTGGCACCGCCGCCCCACATCAAGCCCGAGCCGCAGTCGCAGCCCGATATCGTGGAGCCGCTGCTGAAGCCGGCGCGTTTCATGTGCCTGCCCTGCGGCATAGCCTTCAGCTCGCCCTCGACGCTGGAGGCGCATCAGGCCTACTACTGCTCGCATCGCATCAAGGACACGGAGGACGGAGCGGACGGAGCCAATGCAGACAAGTCGGCCAGCGGCGACAAGTGCGCCACGGGAGGAGTCTCTGGCGGCGGCGGCGGCGCAGGAACTGGCAGCAGTGGCTCGGAGCCGCCGGCAAAGGTGGCGCGCATCGGCAAGCAGTACGCGTGCGCCCAGTGCTCGTACAGTGCCGACAAGAAGGTGTCCCTCAACAGGCACATGCGCATGCACCAGACCTCGCCGGCGCCCAGTCTGAGCAGCCTGGGCTCCCTCGGCAGTCTGCCCATCGGGCTCACGGCCAATGGAGTACAGCCCGGCACGGCAGGCGGAAGCGGAGGCGGAGGCGGCAGCAGCAGCAGCGCAACCCTCGAGGAGGCTTCTAGTCAAGTGAGTTGTGCGAAGTGGAAGCCACACGAGACATTTTCCACTAATCCTACCCCCCAGCAGCAAACGGACCGCTACTGCAGCGACTGTGATATCCGATTCAACAACATCAAGACCTACCGCGCCCACAAGCAGCACTACTGCAGCTCCCGTCGCTCCGACGGCCGTGTCACACCCAAGGGCGGTGCAGCAGCAGCAGCAGCCGAGGGAGCAGCCGCCGCCGCCGCCGCTCGAGAATCAGGGGGAGGAGCGGCTTCGGCAGGCAGCGCTGCGGCGTCCGCGGCGGCGCCTGGCAAGCTCAGTCCACAGACGCGCAACAAGACACCCACCCCGGCCATGGTGGCAGCGGCGGCAGCAGCAGCGGCGGCGGCGGCAGCAGCAGCGGCCGCTGCCTCGTTGCAGGCACCCACGCCACAGCCATTCCTGGCGCTACCCACGCATCCCATCATCATTGTGCCCTGCAGCCTGATCCGAGCGGCGAGCATCATTCCAGGACCACTGTAAGCGACATCTCAGCGTCGCCCGCGTTTCCCCTTTCTCACCTTTCCACTTCTCTCCCTTGTTTAGGCCCTCACCCGCGTCGGGTATCGTGAATCTGGAGTCCACCTGCTTCACCGTGGACAATGGCGCCATCAAGCCGCTGGCCACTGCGCTCATCAGCAATGCGCTCGCCGGCAATATGAATCACTTTGTCAATTCGCTGCACCTGCCCGCCCTGGAGCCGCCGGCGGCAGATCGGCCGACAGCCGAGCGCACTGGCGCTGCCGAGGAGTCCAAGAGCAGCAGTCCGCCAGAGCCCAAGAGGAAGGAGGCAGGCGGCAGTCGGTGAGTAGACAGTTGAATGGCCATGTTATCCACCCGCTAACCGAAGATCTTCCCCTCTGTCCTACAGTGAATCGGCGCCCCTCGATCTTTCGTTTCGGCGCTCGCCCATCTCCATCTTGCAGCAGCGCCAGCGGCACATTCGTTCCGCTGCTGCCGCCGCTGCCGCTGCGCTGCTGGATGTGGAGGAGGTGCTGCTGGGGGCGGGCAAGGAGAATGTGGAGTCTGGCTGCGGCGGCAGAGCGGGCGGCAGTGTGACGCCCGAGCAGATTGTCTGTGCGCCCTCCCTGCCGAGCAGTCCCTCGATGAGTCCCTCGCCCAAGCGACGGGCGAGTCCCCGGAGCTCGGGTGCGGGCAGTGCCTCCTCCATGTCGCCGCCCGGCATGAATCCAGCCCATCTGCTGGACATACGCTCGATGCTGCCGGCGGACTTTGGCCTGTCGGAGTCGCTGCTGGCGAAGACCAATCCGGAGCTGGCGCTCAAGCTGGCGGCAGCCGCTGCGGCAGCCGTGGCGGCAGGAGGCAGTGCCTCCTCCTCCGCCGTGGCGGCTGGCTCCAATGCGGGCAGCCAGCAGCAACAGCAACAGCAGCAGCCGCAGATCTACGTGAAGCAGGGCGTCTCCAAGTGCAAGGAGTGCAACATCGTCTTCTGCAAGTACGAGAACTATCTGGCCCACAAGCAGCACTACTGCTCGGCCCGCAACCTGGAGCCCAGCGGCAACGAGGGCAACGACTCCAAGTGCGCCGTCTCGCCGTCGAATGCCACAGCCGGCAATGGTGGCGGTGGCGGTGGTGGCGGCGGTGGTGTCGCCTCCGCCGTGGAGACTACGCCCGTGGCCTATCAGCAGCTCATTTGCGCCGCCTGCGGCATCAAGTACACCTCGCTGGACAATCTGCGCGCCCACCAGAACTACTACTGTCCCAAGGGTGGCGCCCAGGCCGCCACTGCGCTCGCCGAGGCCACCAAGGAGGCCACCAAGTGCGGCAAGTGCAAGACCCTGCACGAGCACGGACACCCCTGTCCGGCGCCACCCGCTGCTGCCACGCCACTGACGGCGCCCTCCAGCCTCCAGTCGTCGTCGTCGTCAGCGGGGGGGGGTGCCTCCTCGGGCATGAACAGCGTGAACAAGTGTCCGGTGTGTGGCGTGGTGAGTCCCACGGCCGCACTGGCCCGCAAGCACATGGAGATGCACGGCACGGTGAAGGCCTTCCGCTGCAGCATCTGCCAGTACAAGGGGAACACGCTGCGCGGCATGCGCACCCACATCCGCACGCACTTCGACAAGAAGACGAGCGACGTCAACGAGGAGCACTACATGACCTGCATCTTCGAGGAGGATAACTCGGGGCATGCCGCTGTGTCGCAGGAGCTGCCACCCACAGTGGCAGCAGCGGCGGCCACAGTGCCGCAGCAGGAGCCACCGATGGAGCATCCGGCGCAGCTGTTCAACTGCGATTACTGCAATTATGCCTCCACCTACAAGGGCAATGTGGTGGGTACTTGCACACTCCTCCTCCTCCTCCTCCTCCTCCTCCTCAGTGCTGAAGGCAGCCACTAATCCACTGGGATTTTCTCTTGCAGCTGCGTCACATGAAACTGCTGCATCCGCATGTGGCCATCAATTCGCCCTCGATATCCCCCGAGTCGCGTGAACAGGAGCCGCTGCTGCCCAGCTCCACGCCGAATGCGCACGAAGCGTCCAATGGCGAGGCACTCGGGTAAGTCTTTGGAGGATTGCATCTCTCGCTTTAATGGTGCTTCATGTTCCTCTCTTCTCCTCTCCCTTGTTGCAGCTTCCACATCAAATCAGAGCCCGGACTGGACAATCCACCGACGCTGGCGCTCGTGCACGAGAACAACAACTCGCCCATTGGCACGCCATTGCCGCACATCAAGGCCGAGCCAATGGAGATGGGCATGGAGGCCATGTCGCCCACACCGCTGGCCCTGGCCCTGCCCCTGCCACCGCCACCGCCCGTTGCCTCGCCCCTGGCGGCCGCTGCAGCCGAGGCCATGAAGAAGTACTGCTCCGTGTGCGACATATCCTTCAACTATGTGAAGACCTTCCTGGCCCACAAGCAGTTCTACTGCAAGAGCAAGCCCGCGCGGCCCGAGCTCAACGACAGTCCCAGTCCCGGAGTGGGCGTGGGCGTGGGTGTGGGTGTGGGCTTGGGCGTTGGCATGGGCATGGGTGGGCAGCCGCTGCAGTCGCCCAGCGAACTGATGCTGATGCAGAAGAACAAGGAGAACCTGCAGGAGGCGGCCATTTGAGAGAGCCAGCAGCGGCAGATGTGGGAGGCGCAGCGCAAGCAGCTCGAATGGTATTACAAGTGCTTCTGAGCAGAGAATCCAAATCGAATAAACTCTAAACTGTATAATCCATAAACATAATCCGTAAATCCATAAATCCGTAAATCCGCGTAACTTGTAAACCGTAGCCTCAACGACGACGACAGTATTCCTGGAGAATCTCCCTGTCGCTGCAACACTCCTCCACTCCTGCGATGCCACGTCAGGACTGACTCCTACGATCTACCGATATATAGAAAATAGTTATACATATAATACATAAACATAAATATACACAACATATATACATACATACAGATATATATATATATATAAATGAATATATAGATACATAAACATACGCATAACCCCCACACCCATACCCACAACCCCATTAAGTGGGGAAATCATGACATATAATGCATGCCAAAGCTTACCACTTAGAGAAGAAACTACATACATATACATACATATATATACATATATATATATATATATATAATTGAGTGCAAGAAACTACAAGTTTTCGGTAGACGGAATTCAGAGGCGAACCTAGAGAACCGCTGATGGTGCGAAGAATAAGAAGTTGAAGAAGAATAATCCTATATAGATCCAATATTCGATTGTATGTACTATAAATGCTTCTTCGCATTCCCCCCCCTGTAGAAGCGAGCAATTCAAACTGTGTAATTTAACTGAATACATTATTTATTAAGTGTGTGCGACAATAAAAGTAATTAATTTATTCAAAACAACAACAAAAACATTTATCTTGAAACTTGGAAATCGGTTTGAGAGTTTTCGGTACGTTGAGTTGGAAATTAAGTACAGATACGATAACGTTCTGCCATTATTTAATGATTTTCGTAATATATAATTGATAAAAACTCCATCCATTTACAGATAACAGAAATCGAAACTCCAAAAAATGGAGGAGATTACGCAAAAAAATTAATTACAACAACGACCTGGAATTTGGTGGCTCTAAATTCCGAGATTTTAGCGAGTTCTACAAAATGCATTGCATACTTTTAGGTGGCAAGAGCTTTCTTGCAATTTCTGTGCTCCTGGTAAAATCTCTCGTTTTCGCCCATTTGAAGTCGATTTTCGTTTTGCGGTTTTTCTTTGGTTATGTTTAGAATATTTATGGGCGGATCATGGCGTGGCATGTTGTTGCGTGTTTGGAACAATCGTGTCAACCATATGGCACCATATGTATGTAATTCTAACCACATTTCTTTTTCACGGTTTTGCAAAAAATCATGATTTCATCAAAAGCATCAGCCAAAATTTGAGCTCAGTTTTGTAATTGGAATTTCAAATGCCGATCGACAGTCTAAAACCTCACGATCCTGGAAAAATGGGTCCTTGGCTGATAGAAGCCCGATTTCAGAAGATTTAGCGTCCCGAATTTTCGCAAAGCACTAAAATTCTAGTTTCAATAGGTACATACACATGTACATACATATGTTGGTACACACAAACATACATATGCACATACATTGATGAACAAACTTTGGACATGTCGGTTCATGTCTGAATTTGGCTTTCTGCAATTTGCTTCAGTGCAAATGCCAAAATTCGATGACCACCAGCAGCCAGGATTATGTGCATACATATGTTTGTATGTCGGTTGCTCAATATCGATCGAATATGGAAAGCCCGATCAAAGTCACCAAAAAGCCACGTTATCCATTGTAATACTCGATCTAAAAGCCAGTGGAGAACTCACATGCATACATATGTACATATATATGTATACGTGTATGCATGCACTCGCGCATTCATACATACATATATATCGCTGCCACGTAGCAACTACGAAATGAATCATCCAGACATGTACAGACATGTTGCCTATAAACCTATTGAAGTGTGTACAGAAACAACAAAAACAGAGCATATGGGCCAATGTACTTGTGTGTATGCACTGAAGCAATTTTAATAAAATTATAATTTCAGTGCAAATCCGATATTACATCGTGGTTCACATACATACATAAGTAATTGTTTATTTAGATAGACTTAGTAGAAGTAAAAAGATATTAGAGCATTCTCGAAAATGCTGCCATTCTAGATGTTTTTGTTTTTGTTGGTGTGTGTGTGTTGGTTTGTTTGTTTGTTGGTGATCGGTTTTTAATGTCTATGTGTGGGTTGAAGAGGGGATTACTCGGTAGCGGCCATGGCACGGGCCTGTGCACGCACACGTTTCTCATACTCCAGGCGGTTCTGGCAGTAAATAGTGTAAGCCTCGGCCTGGGCCGGATCCTTGATGTTCGGCTCATTGAGCAGATCCTGGATGCCCAGAAGAATTTGCTTAATGGTGATGGCCGGGCGCCAGTCCTTCTCCTCATCCAGCAGCGAGAGGCAGACAGTGCCCGACGGATACACGTTAGGATGGAAGAGAGGTGGCTCAAATTTGCATTTCGGCGGAGAGGTTGGATAGTCATCCTTGAAAATCATGCGAAGCTTGTAGAGGCCCCCCTCCCAGGGGGTGGACTTCTTTCCGGGAATGGCGCACTCCCAAATCATTAGGTTGAGGGTGCCATCGGGATTCTTGGCGGGGCGAGCAACAAATCCGTATGGATGGTCCTTACGCCAGGCCTTGCGCTCCTCGCCCAATCGTGTTATAGCAATGCCAGACATCTTGTATTCAGCCTAGTCTGTGCTGCAATTGTTGTTGGAAAATGTCTTTTCCTCCTCTTCTTTATCACTATGCTGTACACGCTGCTACGCGTCTGCCAAAAAAAGTCAACGAAAAAGGGTTTAAAATGTTTTCCCACGCGGCCCCTAACTTATTTATTTTGATGCTTACCAAGTCGCCTCTTTGTTCGTCAACCGACGATGCTCAGATTGCAAAATTCTATGCCTTTTTTCCGGCAAAAAAAAAATCTTTTAGTTTTGCAAATTCTAGCGCAATTTTTTCTCGGACGCGAGCCAGACAGTGTGACCGCGGATTTTGTCGATCAATATACCGCCTTAACGTAAATATACTGACGGACACGACAAGATGCGTTTATATTCCTCGATTTTTATATTCAGTTTAATACTACTAGATGGTTGGCCCTCTCAGCCCTAAACAAATAATTTTATCCGATAGATAAATCAATTTTCTACAAGACTACCAAGTTTTTAGAAGTCTTTTTTTTGGATTATTTACATATTAAGGTTCAAACAAAAACAACATAAAACGAATGTGACGTCGTTTTTGTGGCGTTGCCAGATACGTGCAATTCGTAGTTGCTGCGGGCTGGCATACCATGATATTCTGTGATATGAAATTCGTCAATTTTGATATTCAGTACTATATTACTAGATAGTTGGCCTTCTCAGCCCTAAAAAAATGATTTTATCCAATTCCTCAATCAATTTTGTACAAGATTTGCTAGGTTTCAAAACTGCTTTTAATTGCATTGTTTTTATAATAAGGTTCAAACTAAAAACGGCCAAAGCGTAAAACGTAGGTGTGAACTCCGGTCACATTTAAGTCTATAAAAAAACATACCATACATGCTGGCGTTGCCAGACTCGTGCAATTCGTAGATGCTGCGGGCTGCCACACCATGATATTTTGTGCAAAGTGACTAGTTTTTGCATTTATTACAGAATGTAAAAATTGAAAATTTTTATTAAATAAATTAGGCATTTTCTAAATGATTAATCAAGTACTCCTTATCAACCCCTTGTTTATAAAATATGGTTTAATTCAAAAAGTTTTTTACATGGTTACTACACCATAACCACAAATCTACATCGGTGTATGAGCACAACGAGGTGAGTGGATAAACAACAGAAGTGACAAGGTGTGTAACATAGAGAGGGGGACACATTTTGTTCATTCATTTTCGCAGAACAAAAACAAAACAAAACAAATCATTGGACTCCGACAATTTCTCGATTCGTTTGCATGTGTGTTTGATATTCCAATTAATTATATTTGCATTGCGGAATCCCGTTTAATAAGATTCATTTGCTTGCAGGACAATGGAGAACATATGCAGAGTTTGCATGGGAACGGAGCATTCTGGAGCATTCACAAACATTTTTGATGAGACACAAAAAGGAGCCAGCATCTCCGTTTCTGACATGATATCGGAGTGTACGGGGTACGTGGTTAGGCGTGGTGATTCACTACCAGAAAACATATGTCCGTCCTGCCTGGAGGATGCAGTGAGCGCCTTCAATCTCAAGAAAACCTGCGTGCAGAGCCATGAACTGTATTTCCCGCTGAGGGAGGAGGGTAGAGGAGAAAAAATCTCTGATAATGTGAAAGGCGATGCGCACATCCGTGAGCATACCGGCGAGCTACCCTTCCAATGTTCCTACTGCTCAAAATCATTTAGGTTGCAGGAATTTCTAACGAATCACACCCGCATGCACACTGTTGAGCGACCGCGACCCTTCAAGTGCACCGATTGCCCAAAGTCCTTCGCAACAACATACTGTCTTAAAATCCACACCCGTACGCACACGGGTGAACGACCCTTCCAGTGCACCGACTGCCCAAAGTCATTCACAACAATATGCAGTCTTAAGATTCATACCCGTACGCACACGGGTGAAAAACCCTTCAAATGCCTCGATTGCCTAAAGACATTTCGCTTGCAACAAACTCTCCAGATTCACATTCGTTCGCACTCGGGTGAACGACCCTTTAAATGCTCTTACTGCACAAAATCCTTTTCAGATAAATACTATCTCAAGGAGCATATCCATACGCACACTGGAGAGCGACCATTTAAGTGTGCGCTGTGCCCCAAGTCCTATCTTAAGAGCTCCAATCTTTACTCGCACGCCCTTTCGCACAGAGCTGATGAACCATATAGATGTTCTCACTGCTCGAAGTCATTTAAAGAGCAAGAGTCCCTCGATATGCACATCCCCCTTCATACGAAGGAGCGACCATATAAGTGTTCTGACTGCCCCAAGACATTTATTCAAAAATTCCATCTCATCGAACACATACGTACTCACACTGGGGAGCGAAGGTTCACGTGTTCTCACTGCGACAAGTCTTTTACTCGGTCCGGAACTCTCCGAAATCACATCCGCATGCACACGGGTGAACGGCCCTACCACTGCTCTCAATGCAGCACGACATATAATCAATTAGCCCATCTCAAAAACCACATATTACGTGCTCACACAGGCAATAGCGAACCATCATTTAGTGTTTCCACTACGAAGCCTGATGCAACGGCATCACAAAAGAACATAATGATTAGTAACTGATACGTTAGTCAAATAAATTTCGATTAAATGTAAGAATAAACAAAACTTGAATGTTGGTCAGCACATATTCCTACATATGCGCATTTTTCGTTTTTCCTATTTTAATATAAATATGTTATGTTAATGTGGAAAAAACTTTAGTTGTCAATGTTGTTGCATTGTTCATTATCACTGAATTAAGACGTGATGGCATGGAAACACCCTAGCGATTCAAGGGCGAATGGATTGATATTCGTCCTTTATCATTCTATTGCCACTTTATGCTACATTAACATTTTTATACTAAAATACGAAAAATGCACATATAAATATTTTTAATTTACTTAAAAATTAAATGAAACATTTGTAGGCATAATTTAAAGCTATTTAATTTTTAAAGTTGTTGAACAATTCTAAGTTTGTATATTTTTATTTTCAGAAGATGAAATAAAATTATTTCATAACTATATTATATTATTTACTATTTTATTTATATATAAAGTACATAGAGATTTCGAAAAGGTGTTAGTAAAATTAAATTAGTTCAAAGCACTAACCATACAGTATAGTTCAAATCACTTGTTTTATATAATCTGAAAAACATAAATTTATTGACAAAGTTGAGTTCGTACGTTCGTCAGTTGTCGCTTTGGAGTTTAGCGGCAGGGTATTGTGGCTATGTGGGCTTGGATTCTGATTTGGAGCATTCAGAGTATTTACTTCTCGGTGTGCCAGAGAAGCCTGCTTTTTAAAACGCGTAATTTTCGTTTGAATTGTTCAATTTGTAAACAATAAAAATATACGCATTGCTTTTAGCTAATTGCATTCTAGTTTTTACATTTTCCCCTTTATTTTACATTTTTGTCAGCGATCAATTATAATTTTTCGTTTCATATCAGTCAGCTTTTGTCAATGAGCAATAAAAACATTTTCTTGTTTTTTTTTAAATTTTTATTACATTTTTACATTTATGTACTCTGCTTCAAGACACACTTGTACATGCTTGCTGTCCGTCGGCTCGTGTCACGTCATGAGCCGAACGCGGTCAATCCCAGAGCCGAACGCGATCGGCCTAGAGCCGAAGACCTGGGAACGTACGCTGAAAACTCAGCTGCGCCACTTTCGTTGTATGAACGTTTTATCAACGCATATTGCAGAAATATTGTTACAAGCGACAACTCTACATTCGGTTAGATGGGTTTTGCGCTTAACAGCACATTGTGTGTTTGCATTTTCTCAACATAAAAACAAACCACGCCAAGGAATAATTTATAATTTTAACCCAGAGAAACTACAACATTTTGATGCTTGTGGGTTTGATTTCGCAAATTTCACATGTGTAGGATTCATTACTTCATTTGCTTGCAGGACAATGGAGAAAATATGCAGAGTTTGCATGGGAACGAAGCATTCTGGAGCATTCACAAACATATTTGATGAGACACAAAAGGGGGCCAGCATCTCCATTGCTGACATGATATCGGAGTGTACGGGGTACGTGGTTAGGCGTGGGGATTCGCTATCTGAAAAAATATGTCCGAATTGCCTGGAGGATGCAGTGAGCGCCTTCAAACTGAAGAAAACCTGCGAGCGGAGCCATAAGCTATTTTTCACGCTGATGGAGGAGGGTAGAGACGCAGACGAGGATCGGAAACAGTCGGATAGTCGGAACCAATTTGAAACTGATGAAGCGAAACAGGACGATTGTAAACGTCGCTTCCAATGCTCCTTCTGTACAGAATCATTTGCAAGAAAATCGCAGCTATGTGGACACACCCGTATTCACGCGGGGGAGCGACCGTACAAGTGTCGTCACTGCCCGAAGTCATTTAAGCATAAATCGAATTTACAACTACACATCCGTAGTGAGACGGCAGATCGACCGTTTAAGTGTTCCCATTGCTGCAGGTCGTTTAAACAATCCGCCTATCTGCGAATGCACATAATACGCATCCACACGAGTGAAACACCCAACCACCAATGCCCCCAATGCACAAGAGCCTTCCCAGAAGAATCCAATCTTAAAAGACACATGCGTATGCACACAGAGGAACGACCGCACAAATGCTCGGAATGCTCAAAGTCGTTTATACATAAATACAAACTAGAAAGACACGTCAGTACGCACTCAAAGGATCGACCCTACAAGTGCTCTCACTGCTCCAAGTCATATAAGCAAAATAAACATCTCATCGCTCACATACACCATATTCACCCTGCAGAAGAAGAGGCCGCATCAAAGGAAGAGCAAAAGAAAGCGAACGAATCTGTGGAGCGACCCTACCTGTGCACGCACTGCTCAAAGTTATTTAAGCAACATAAACATCTCATCAGTCACATTTGTATTCGCAATGCAACAGGAAAGATCAAACCAATTGAAGGCCGAAGGGTAGCGGAATCATTTGAATCTGGGGTGCGAACGTTTCAGAATGCTTTTATGAATTATTTATGTTAATGAAGGTTATTCTATATTAAAATTATAATAACTGAAAACAGAACTAAAAACGTTTCCGGAAGAGTATAATATACCCTAACACCCTGCTGAAAGAGCATCCGACCGTCAACTTCGATAGTGTGGAAGCGCTTTTTCTTTTTCTCCCAGTGTGGGCAGCTCCTTGTAAGAGATGAGAATTTCCGTGTTAGTAAGGGGTGGCCGCTTAACTACGATCAGTAGAAGATATAGCAAAATAGCACGACAAGATGCATTCATTGGGTCACAAAAATTTGAATATATATTTCAAGTGTTTTTCATTCTTATTTCTTCGTGTTCCTTTACAAAAGGTACATAAATAAATAAATTCTAGATTAACGTTTGTTGATTCTGGTAAAAAAGTTTGAAAAAGTAAGTTAATTCTCTATATTTCGTAAACCTAATCGAACTTAATAAGGTGGTTGTGCCTTGCGAAGGAACATTACTAAATCAATATAGCAAAATCGTCTTTTATAGAAATGTCGCAGGAAGTACGGATCGGATCGGATCGGATAGAGAAGTGGTAGCTATAACAAATTATTACATGGCTTGCCAAATTGAAGAAGACATATGTTGATGGAACGGTATGGTTGTCTGCGTGCTGCTTGCTGCTTGCTCTTGGTGGCTTTACTTTGCCTTTTTGGAATCCTTCTTTTTGCTGCTGCTGCCGCTACTGCTGCCCTCCTCCTTATCTTTCTTCTCCTTCGTTTCGGTCTTTTCCTCGGGATGATCTTCATAGCTGCACAAACGATATTCACCATTAGTGAGAACATATAATAGTTTTTTTTACTGTAATTAACTTACGCAAAAAGCACCTTCAGCTCTCCTCGGATAAGAGCCACCAGTAGGGGTGTGCCCATGCAGGCGGGAACCAGATAGAGCAACGCCGGCTGGGCGTGCTTGAAGACATGCATCACAAAGATCGTGGCCATGAGACCCAGGAAATAGGCCGCCAGTGTTGAGTAGAAATAAATGCGCGTCTTCCTCTTCTTGCTGTCGTCGAACCGCAGGAGCAGGGCAATGAAGATGCCCGGAATGACAATGTCGCCCAGACCCAGCATGGCAAAGTTGGAAGCATTTAGACCATTGTCGATTAGATCCTGGGGGAAGACTAGCTTGATGGGGGCCTCGAAGCTTTTGGCCACCGTCACCATGACATTGGTGCCAAACACCCAGAAGATGTCATAGAAGAAGAGGCCGCTCAGCAGGATGACGCCGGTCACAAAGTTGTTTAAATGGAGCATCTCCACGCCGTTGATCGCGAAGGCCAGGCCGAACAGATTGTTGGCTATCCAGTGCTTTTTCAGCAGATACCACACGCCAATGACCGATGAGATCACCAGGCACACAATATCGTGGGTGGAAAACTTATAGTTAATGAGATCCTCCTTCTGCTTGCCCTCGCCCCTCGTGAACAGTATGTGGAAGGGCACCTTTGGGACGGCGGCGGGCATCAGCGAGTTCATCACTGGACTGAGAAGGTGCGCCAGTGCAATCACGCCCAGCACAAAAAAGTAGCCGGTGAGCAAGAAGTTGATGTGCACCTTTTGGAATATCTTGAAGAATAGATACAGGCCGAAGAGGGCGGCCGAAGCAATCAGTGGAAAGTACATGGCGTCTTTCTTTGTCATCGTGTCGGCTTTCTCCCCCGTAGACTGCGGCGAATCGATGGAAACCAAACCAGTGAGAACAATGTTAAATCAGGGCAACAGATGACCTACCTTTTTCAGCTTGTGCAGTTTCACGGAACGTATCGAACCAAAAATAATGGGCAACATGGCCATAATCACCAAGCTGCCGTATGCCACCGCAATTCCTTCAGGGCTGGACGGTTTCCTCTCATTGGGCGCCGTTTCATTTTTCACGTTCACATTCTCAAATATTCCCTTGATAGTCTCCTTGACAGTGTCAATCACTTCGTCCGCCATGGTATCTATATTTTATTTATTCGACGGGGTTGAAATTGACACGCAGCCAGGCCAGTGTACACGTCAATATTAGGGATGACAAAAATGAAAGTGTCGAAATATCGATATAAATTTTACTGATAATATATTTGTAGGTGATAGTTTTGGCGGGTATATAGCTATATCTTCACTTACAGTTTATATAACTGTACTTTTTGAGTTAGGTTTGCAGAAAATGTACACGATTTTTAGTTGTTTTACGTCGTTATCATTTACCCGCGACTTTTGATTCTACTTATCGATAGGCAGGGTAGCTGCAAACAGAAATATCGGTACTTTTGTGCGATAAGCGGAACTTATCGGCGTTTTATTTTGAAATTACAGATACTACAGTCAATAAAATTGGTTGTGTACCTAACGTTACGCTTGAAATTATAGCGCCAATATTCTAATTTAGACAGAAGCAGAATCGCACAAATATAACTTTTGTCCTCTGAAAAGTTCATACGATAGGCGAACAGGGTTGAAATATTCGGAAAATCGAAAAGTAAAACGCTACCAAAACTCAACTTTTTGCAACCACTAGGCTCCTATGCGAGACCTATGTATGTAAAAAAAAACGGCCAAAACGCAATAACTCAACCGTAGTGTAAACAGGCTATACAAGAATTATATCCGAGGAGTATTTTTTATATGCTCTCACTTTGTGAACTTGAATTGTCGGTAATATTAGTCGGTACCTAACGTTACGTTTGAGATTCTGGCGCCAATATTCAACTTGGACAGAAGCGAATAAGAATCGCCTACATTTTTAACCCAGTACGCATATCTGCTGCAAAAGTGAATGCAAAACTTCTGCTTACAGGCAAAAACAATTCAATCAGGCAAAGCCCACATAGTTTCCGATGCCGTTATCGCTTATCCGCTCTGCCGCTGCTTAGCCTCGGCTGTATTTGGGCGCATTCTGACTTATCAGAGCAACAACGACCATGTGTGCTAAACTCTGAGAGCTGATGCTTGAATTCTCAGTTCCATTTCAGACTCGGAGGCGAATGCATTAAATAATTCATTAAAAATCGAACTGGGAACAACAATGACGACGTTCCCAAAGATAAGGACTCTGATTTCCGGTCGTGGGATGCTGGGGCTATGTTTTCTGCTGCTTGCCGTTTCCGTGCCAGGCGCCACTTGTAAGTGCCTCCAAGTTTCTTTAGCTATCCAGTTATTTAAGCAGTCAACTCCGAAAATTCCTTTAGCAGCAGATGCGACTGCAATTAACGGCACCAGCAGTGACAATGGCAGCGTCAGCACCCTGGACCGTCTGCACGCTGGTCTGTTCATTAACTACGACAAGCACACACAGCCGCTGGACAAGGCGGGCGAGGCCAGTGAGGTCAACATGGTGCTGAACATCAACTTTATCGACATTGACGAGATGAATGGCAAAATGACGACACACTGCTGGCTGAGTATCGTAGGCATCCTCCGGCCATTGAGGGTTTGAAAACTTTATCGCTGATTCCCTTTATTTTTGCAGCGTTGGACGGACGAGCGGCGCACGTGGCAGCCGGAGGAGTACGAGAACATAACGCGTATCCATTTGCGTGCCACCGAGATTTGGACACCGCAGATCACGCTCTTCAATGCGGCCAGCGATGATGACGGCTTCCTGGTGCACACTGAGGTGATTCTCACCCACAAGGGCGAATTTCTGTGGGTGCCACCGGCCGTTTACACGGCCTACTGCAATCTCAATATGATCAACTGGCCGTACGACGAGCAGACGTGCAAGCTGCAGATTGGCTCCTGGGGCGTGAGCAACCTCAATGCGGATTTCGAAAGAACGGAGAAAGGGATAGAATACAACAAGGGGATGCAGTCCGCCGAGTGGCAGATCATCAAAGGGGAAACGAATTTCGTGCGCTATTACTACTACAGCTATCTGGAGTACACCCTGACGGCGCAGCGACGTTCCAACATGTACACGGCCATCATCTACACGCCGGCCTCCTGCTTTGTGATCCTCGCGCTGTCCACCTTTTGGCTGCCTCCCCACATGGGCGGCGAGAAGATCATGGTCAATGGCCTGCTCATGATCGTGGTTGCCTCCTTCCTCATGTACTTTGCCCAACTGCTGCCCGTGCTGGCCAATAAGACGCCGCTTGTGGGTGAGTCTCTGCCAAGTCCCCCTCCCCCTCCATGTGCAGCCAGTTCACTCGCTCATTGTGCTCATCATCTCCCTGCATTTTGTAGTTGTCTTTTATAGCGCCACGCTGCTCCTACTGAGCCTCTCCACCATTGTGGAGGTGGGTGTGCTCTACTTGTCCACGGCCAAGCACAAGCGACGCGTGCCAGACTGCCTCAAGAAGCTGCTGCACGGTAAATTCGGCTCCTGGCTGCTTCTCTCGCACTTCAGCTGCGAGGCTGAGCAGCAGACGGAGACGAACAAGGAAATGGACGAGCATGTCTATGACAATGCCGATGATGATCCGCTGGACATAAACCCCGCGCAGGTGCCCACATCCCGGGCCATTCAATTCGATTGGGCACTGCTGGCCACGGCCGTGGATCGCGTCAGTTTTGTGGCTTTCAGCCTGACCTTCCTCATTTTGGCCATTATGTGCGGTGTCTAGGGAGCATGCCTAGTATCCCCACCTGCAGGATTACTGCTTAATTGTATCTGTATCTATATCTATATCTATGTATCTGTATTTGTTTATTTACTAAATGTATCTGTGTGCTTAGTGAACTTAGAATTATATAATGATGTGGCCTCTACTGGGTTGCTAGAAGCGAGGGGATAACAGACGATGTAACAAATTGGCTCCTGCTCTCCTCTCCTCTCCTCTCCTCTCCTCTCTCTCTCTCTCTCCACTCTCCACTCTCATATTGCTCTGCGATGCTCTGGGCTATCACAATTCCTCAATTAACACGAAAGTATCTGGAATTATGCGGAAATTACTCGTGTCGTACCTTTTTACGGCCTTTTATTCTGCCTTGAGTGTGGTCCACTCCCGGACTGGGTATGCTCTCTCTCTCTGCCAAACGGAGTGGGGTTGGGGTTGGGGTTGGCATTCTGCGCAATGGGTGGTCCCTGCGCATCTTCATCTTCAATTAAATGCATTCGTGGATGGGTTGCCCTGGTCATAGGTCGAGGCCGTCGTCGCCGTGCCTGTTCCTGGGTCTGTCCCTGTTCTGGCTGCCTCTGTCCCGCCGTGGAATGGTGCAGGAAACGCCGACGTTGTCGATGAGGAGGGCGGCCCATTGCTGGGCGAGGGCTGGGAGGAGACCGTCGAGGGCGACGGGAAGCCCAGACTGGAGCTCGTTGAGGCGGGCGATGTGTGATGGTGCAGGAAGTGCGGCTGCCCGGCATGCACATGTCCGTGCGCGTGTGGATGCGAGTGCGGATGATGATGATGATGGGCATGCTGGGCGTGGTGATGGTGCAGCGGCGGGTGTCGAGCCAGCGGCATGCCACCGCCGGCATGATGATTGTAGGAACCTAGCATATTGGCGGCCGGATCTCCGCCCTGCGCCTGTGCCTGACAGGCGGCCATCAGACCATGGAAATCGAACTTGTAGGCGTACCGCTTGCCATGGACCTTGGTCATGATGTTCTTGTCGTAGTAGTACCTGCGGAGATTGGGTAGGGAGATTGAGGGTTTGGATTTGCCTGATGGATATATACTCCGACGGCACTCACCTGAGGGCACGGCTCAGCTTGTCGTAGTTCATATTCGGCTTGGCCTTGCGCTCGCCCCAACGCTTGGCCACCTCGTCCGGGTCAATGAGCCGAAATTCGCCCGATTGGCCCTCCCAGCTGATGTATGCGACATTCGACGAATCAGCGAGCAGCTCCAGCAGAAATTGCCACAATTGTATCTGCCCGCCGGAGCCCTGGGCGACCAATCGGTGCGAGGCAGCGTTCAGCAGTTGATACGGATCTGAAAAGAGAGACAACGCGAATCAGCCAACAACAGATACACAAGTAGAGAGAGCGAGAGAGCGAGAGAGAGAGTGAGCGAAACACAGCAGAGATTCGCGCGAGAAATCCCCACACAGCCAAACCCAAACGAGATTTTCTGGTGAATGACTCTTTGGTTGCTGTCGGACGTTGTTGTGTTGGACGTGGCAAGAGTGCCAAAGCAACGGCCATAAGCCTGTCGCGGATTCACAGAAACTCATTCCACAAGGGGCGTTGTGTGGGGGGGTTTCATAAATAAATCCTGGACTTGCCATTTTGGGATATTCCCATACCCCATACCCTATACCCCATGGCTGCTCTATACGGGGAAATCCCTTCAAAGTGCCGGCTCCACGAATGTCACGAAAGCGCCATAACCAAGTGGCATGGCAGGATGACTCACGGCCAACCCAAGCAAAAGCATAAGCAAAAGCAAAGCAGTCCAAGAGCAAGAATTCCCATTCCCACATAGACAACATCATCTCTACACCATTCCATTCATACTCTAGGCGCAACGCAGACACCGCTCACCGGAAATGCCAGCGATCAAGTGGTTGCCGCCGCCGCCATTGAGGAGGAATCGTTCATTCAGCTCGTTGAGCGGAAATTCCAACGAATTTTGGCAATCGTTTCGCTCACCGTTAAACATGATCGAGCCGTGTGTGTGCTCGAGATGGTGCTGATGGTGATGATGGTAGTGATGCACCGCCACCGCTGCCGCATGATGCGGATGATGCGCCGCCGTCGGGGCGGGCTGCATGCGAAGACCAAAGCGACGGTTGAAATCCTCCGATAGGCGCCACATGACGCCCACATCGACGCTGACGCTCATGACGCTCGGATTCGATTGTGAAATACGCGAAACTGCTGCCTGCAATTTTCACATTAATTTTTTGCGGGACTCGCGAGTTTGTCCCCAAAATAAATTTTTCCTGGCAATTCAACACCAACAAAATTAGTTTTCCGAACAGCAGCCCCAAGATTTGGGGAATTTTTATTTTATTTCTTTTTATCAGCGTTCAGGCGAACCGTTTGGGGCAAACGCCGTTTGGCAACTGAAACGCTGTCTGGCTGGAGCTTCTTATCACTTGACTGATGCTGTCCTGCCAGAGGCAGAGGAGAGGCTACTGCTACCGTTACTATTTCGACTGCCTTTCACCTGCGCAGCTGGTGGTAAATGCTGCTTCGGCATTCGGTGCGGTGGCAGAGAAAAGTCACAAGTCGCAGAGGCCACGTGCAGCCACTCAACCCCACCACCCCACCACCCAGCAGCACACACCCAGGGCAACACACATACACAGAGAAATACAAACAATACACGCACACACAAAAGCATCACACACACACACACACAATGGTCACAAGAAGGCACAAGGGTAGATTTATGAGGAACGAAGCGATTGATACACTTGCAGAGGGAATATTTGTGTGGAATTTGATGGAATTTAGATTATAGATTAGCTAGAAACTGTTGCTTTGGTATTTCGAACGATGTTTCCTCTGTATTCAGTATCTGGAATAAACCTCCTGTGGCATATACCCCACAGACTGTACTTAATCGATCTTCATGGCTCCAAATAGTTAATGGTTCGAAAGCTTTCAAAAATAAGTGATAGATCTTTGTGTGAAATATCTATAACATTTTCCTTGTTGATGGATTTGCATTGACAGTCTAATATCTATTTTTATTATATTTCCTCTGGTCAGTATAAATTTATCCGAGCCTTGTAGTTCGTTGTGGTTCATTAGAAACAGATCTCAGTCCTAATCATGATGCCAGGAAGTACATATAGTCCTTCTTTGCTTCCCGCAAATTCATGATATCCCTTGGCCAAAAAGTGTATAGAAATCAGGAGCCAGCATGGGTATGGGGCAGCATTGTGGCAAGAACTCAGAGACTGCAACTGTAATCTGCGCCACGGCGACGCGTAATCCCGTTTGGCATAAAAAACAAATCAATTAAATCGACGCCGCCTTCCCTGTCTCTCGCTTTCTCCGCTGGGCTCTTGTGGATCAGCAGCATATGCCAGACCCAAATCAGGCGGAGGAGGCTTTCCACTGCCACAGGAAGGATGCGAACGAATGAATATTTTCCTGTGCCTGAAGCTGACCACCCGCAGTGCTGTTGTCCCTGGGTGCCCCCATCCCCATTCTTGCTCCTGCCACTGCCGCACTGCCACTGACTCAGTGCCACATTGCTACATTCATGAGTGACATGACTTGGTGACTTGACTTTTGTGTCGCTGCCGTGGGATTATTTTGATTTTATTATTAGATGCCACATCCTGCGAGAAAATTATCATATTTACATCGTTTATTATTAAGTTCATCACTTGACGCGACCGCCTGCTAAGTCACCCCCCACTCCTTCTCCTTCTCCACCTCCTGCTCCTTCAATTGTTAATAACTGGAAAAGTGTTGCATACTTTGCTGCTGTCGCGCGGGGATTTTCCCAGCGATTTACGTTTATGGAGTTCCAAAAGAAAGTTGGAGTGGAAAAGCCAGCAGCGGCAGCGGCAGCGACACCGTCAGGTAATTAAAAGGTTGTTCGTTGGGCTTCCTTCCTTCTGCCACCTTTTTGGTTAACTTTTCCGCTTTATCAGACCATCGAGCGGGCGAGCAAGAGTGGAGAGAGGGAAGAGTGTGGTGGCGGGTGGAGAAAAACAATCAATGAAGCACATAAGTAACGCGTCTATCAGCGAGTTGGCATCTTAATCAGTTGCCATTTAGCAGGAGAGGTCAAAAGGATTCAATTGATGCCTTGACCACAAAGGATTCTCATTCACACCCACCCACCCACACATGGAGCTGCCTGTTTCCCCCCTCTCACAATGGCACCACTGGGAATAGCACGTGAACCCAATTACCAAGCAGCTCGCAGCTCACTCAGCTCAATCTGTGGACGCCTCAGATTTATGTGCCCCAAGATTAGATACAGCTACTCACTTGGCTCGTTCTCGTTGAGCATGGGACTCGTCTCGCGGCCCGTGGCATGGTACAGGCTGAGGGCAAAGTGCTTGGCCAGCAGCGTGCCGCCACGACGGGAGCCAGCACAGACCCAGAAGTCGGCGCGACTCAGTTCGCACAGCTCCTGGCCGTCCTTGGGAAAGCGTCCGATGTCCGGCTCCGGATCGATCTTGAACTTGCGCGTCAGCCACTTCACCCAGCTGGCAATGTCCTCGGTGGACCAGGCGTGCGGATCCACGGGCACCTCGACGGGCGTAACGGAGTCACTGGATTCGATGGATGCTTTTCTGCTTTCACTGCGGCTGGGCAGAGGCACTGGCAGAGGTAGAGGCGGGTGGGATGTGTGAGGCTCGGGCAGGGGCACAGGCACAGCCACAGCCACGGACTGCAGTCGGTGGCTGCTTTTACTGCTGCCGCTGCTGCAGGATGTGGATGTATCCGTATCGGAGTCGTCCGTGGTGGAGTCCGAGTCCGTGGAGCTGTTGGAGTCGCTTGTTGAACTGCTGCTGTAGCGTCGCCGCCGGCGTCGTCTCTGCTGATAGCCTGCTCCTGCTCCTCCTGCATTGCCCTCCTGCACCGTCGCCGCCGCCTTCTCCGATGACTCTTCCAGTTTCGATTCGGTTGTAGCTCCGACGCTCTTCGGTGGGACATCCTGGTGCATGGCATAAAGGCTGAGCCCAATCACTGGCCTCGCAACGTGTATGCTCTGTCTGTGGCTCTGCACAATGGCCATTAATGGGTTGTGGTAGGGGGGGGGGTTAGGACTGCCTCAATTCTCAGCTGTGCACTTTACTGTCGTGAGACATCATATGGGTGAGGGGGATTCCTGGAACTGCACTTATTTGCACACACACACACACACCGACACACACACACGTATTTATTGTCAACCGGTTGGCAGCGAAACGGATTTAGGATTGTAGTCCGTAATGGGTCCGGTCGGTCGTTGGGTGAATCACCAACGGTCGGTATTTCACCTGCTGCTGCTGCTGCCCGACAAACGGAATCACCTTCCACCACGTGCCGTTAAATCTTTTTGCCTGGGGAAGCGGATTTTTCCGTTTGGAAAATTTTAATAACCGTTATTGTGACCCCCCTCAACAGTTGACTATCGAGCTGGGATACGCTGAATCGATCGATTGATCGACGATGATCTTTGAACCACACACACAGAGGGAGCGCGACCGAGTTCCGCAGAGGCGACTGCACCGATTGGGGTATGACGAGCTAATGATCGCACCGACTGGCCGGTGATAAAGCCATGACGAAGTCGAGCCGCCGCCAAGAAGCTTTTGCCGCTCTGCTCTCCCTCAGCTCTGGCGAATGGCCCCGTGAGCAATCGGCAGAGATCGGTGCCTGCGCGAGAACCGTTACTGGTTTGCCCACTCAATTCTCCATTGGGTATGCGAAGCTTTTGCGCCGCTCTCTCACGCCTTATCGGGCGCTCGCTCTTCGGCTCGTCAGCAAATAACAACCTTAAGCATGACGTCGTGAAAAGATCGGTGGGCCAGTGCCTGGGGAGGATGAGTCATACGGCCAGCGAGTGAGCGTCGATGGAGTTCCCCAGGGGGAATGCGATTCGCAGCGGACTGAGGGGGTGTAAGGTCGTCTGTGGCCGGCATACAAAAATTCATTCATCGTTTCTGCGATCGCTCTCTCTTTCTATCTCTCTCTCTTTCCATCTCGCTACGTGTGTTTGTTTGTCGCGTCATTATTCTGGGAAAACTGGCATGAGTCGTGCCGCCGCGGCCTATTGCCCAAATACTCACACAACATTTCTCTCTCTCTTGCTCATAATTTGGCTTCGATGTGCGATGCGGTTTGCTCTCTTTTTGGCCATTGCCAGTGGGACGGCAGGTCCCGTGGCACATTCATGGGAATCGCGGGATTAGGCGACGACGACCCGACCCCCTTCATTTTGTGGAGCAAAGAACACCGACGCTGCCTGGGGAGCCAGTGGTTGGACAATTGCTCTATTATTCAGATTATTTGAATTCCGTGCGTTGTTCCGGGAATCGCTTCTGATTTCATAGCAGAGGACGCTTTTGGCGTAAGTGATTCATGCCAAAATGCCAATTGCTCCTCTCTCTCTCTCACTCACCCCTACGCGCTCCGCTCCGCTCGGCTGCCCTATCTCTTTTGCTCGGTGGCGCCAGCGATACAAACAATCATATTGCTGTTTATATTCGTGCCCTGTAACGCGAGTATTCGAATGGGTATGTCTCATGCAGCCAACAGTAGGTGCATTCACATAGCGACACAAATGCTTGAATTCTTAATCTTAAAAGCCATTAAGCAGGCCAGTCAACCAGGTCTGTTTGTCCGCTTGAGCACCTGGTTATTGGAGCATTTTAGAAGCATTTAACTTATGAACATAATCTTAACTAAGAACAGTCGTTCGACTTGGCTCACTTATAAAATCTCTTGAATTTCATACAATAAATAAATAATCATACCAAAAGATTATGAAGTACTTATGCTCTCATTTTTAGTGGGAAAACAATTGAGTCTGAAATGAAACTGATTTGGGGCTGATTGATTCCCTCATACATATATGTATGCTAATCTTATCGTACAATGCTCTTTACGCAAAATTTCCGCATACTTTGACCACATCCCAGACAGTTCTCACGTGCCAAATAGTAACTTTCGATGACTCAGACCCCAAAAGCAATTCCAATTTTCAATCAATTGGGTTGGAAAAAAATACCCCATAATCAGTTCCAATTTTTAATCAATTCCGCTGAAGATATTCTCAAATTGAGCAAGGTAATGTTCGCCGAAAACTTATGGGTTAGTCACACTTTCAAAGATACAAATCTTTGGTAAACTTTGGTTTTATTATGATTATAGGCCAAACGATTGAATAATACTTTCATTTTCAGTGCCAGCAGTACGTTGAGTAACTTCTCTTTAATTTCACTGCAACATACGCTGTAGCTGTAGGTCTTTTTAGCTTCTGTAGCTTCTGTAGCAGGTATTCCTATAGTCGCCTCGCCCGACCTGTGCATTGTTTATATTTATTTTATAGTGACGCGTTGAAGCCTACGTTGTGTGTGTGTGTGTGTGTGTGTGTGGAGGAGAGCTTTTACTACGTAGACTCGACCCTCGCGTATAGTTCATTCATAAAAACCTCTAATGGGTCGTCATGGTGGTGGGGGGAACTGAAGGGAACGCCGCCTGCTGCTGTGAGCAATATTGCGAAATTGTATGGATTGCTCATTCCATTCATTTACTCGTAGATTCTCTGTGGGTTTCGACCCTTGGCCGGATCTAGTTGGCGGGGGCGGACGATTCCTAATGCAGTTCCTCTCTTATCTCCTCGTCGTCGGCGTCATCATCGTCGTCGCTGGTTGTGGTCGTTGTGGTAGTCATGCTGGTGGCTGTGGTGGCTGTGGCCACCTGACGACCCGAGTTCCAAATCAAATTGAAGTCCAGGTCGCACTCCTTGGCCACCTTCTGGACGAGTCCGCGGTCCAGCAGACCCGAGGCGCTCCAAGAGTTGTCCTTTACGGCCAGCTCTTTGAGGGCGCGTCCCGCCTCCGGATACTGTTTGGCATAGACGAGGGCACGCACCAGCATGGCCAGAATGTGCGAGTGACGAATGGGCGGCAGCTCAGGCTTGACTGTAAGCGGAGGAATATCAATAGAAAGTCTACAAAGATAATGCCAAGGCATAACCCACTCAACATGCTGCGACAGGCGCCAATGACCGACTGATTGTCGCCATCCCGAAGCGCTTGCTGGATCTCCAAGATCTGCTTGACGTCGCCCACCGTGCGCTGCAGATTGTTGTACGCGTGCTGGGCGTGGCTCAGTTTCTCCAGGCACTTTGAGGCCTCCTGCATGGCAGTCAGTGCCTTGCCATAGTCCTGATACTCCTCAATCTCCATCGAGGCGCAAATGGCATAGAAATTGGCCAGCGAATCGAAGGCCTGGCCCTTGGTGTAGAAGCTGACAATGTGCTTGAGGATGGAGGCGTCGCCCTGCCAGTCCAGAGCCTGCAGGTAGTTGGCCGCCATAATGTACACCTCTCGCTGGCGCGACATGTTCGCAAAGAACACAATCTTGTCGGTGTTGCCCGACTTGAGCAGACTCTTCATGGCGCGCATCTTGTCGCCCGCTTGGGTGAATTTCTTCGTGGCGCTGTGGTAGTCGCCCTGCTCTTGGAGCAGCTCACCCAGCTGCACCAGGATGGAGGTGCGTGTGGCCTCCTCAAAGTCCCCCTTGTCGGGGGTGAGCATCTCGGCCAGCTCCTCCGTCACGGGCACCCCCTTCTCCGTGCAGATGCCGACAGCACGCTCCAGGTGGTTCGTTTTGGCCAGCAGGTGTACGGCCTTCTGGTGCTGCTCGATGCTGCAAAAGAAATCCGCACAGCGATTGATCAGCTCCGTATCCGAGTCCGGACTGAGCTCCGTGGCGATGATCTCCAGGATTTCCGGCTGCTGCGACTCGAAGGCCATTTCCAGCGCCTTGTGCAGCATGCCCGCCCGATGGTACAGCTCCACGGCATGCTTGAAGTTGCCGCACTCCTCAAAGTAGGCCGCCGCAATGGCCTTGTCCCGCTGTCGCGAGGAGCTGGCCACCGTCCAGAGTTCCTCCTGGAAGTCGTTCTCCTTGCAGATGCGAATGGCATTGCTGAAGGTCTGGGCGCGCGTGAAGAACATAATGGCCTCCTGGAACTTGCCCACGTTCTCGTAGTGCCGCGCCAGATGGTAGCAGGCGGCTCGATCTCCCGACTGCCTGGCAATCGCGTCCGCCTTGGAGATCTTTCCCAAATAGCAGAGTATTTTCACCTGCAAAGAAATCAGAAATTAGGGCAAGATGTTGATGGCGAAGTGGATTAGATTCGATGGCACCTGGGAGAACCAATCCTCTGCCTTGTGGTAGACAGCCAAGGCGGCGTCCATGTCCCCGGAGCTCTCAATGTACTGGCCCCACCAACGCAACAGCTTCGGATCGCTGGTGGTCTGAATGTAGCGCTTCATGGCGCCAGGATTCTCAATCAGCAGCTGGGTGATGTTCTGCGCGGGATTCTGCGTCTTCTCAAAGTACTCCAAGGCGCCCTTGATGTCGCCCTTCTCGCGCAGTTCCTGCGCCTTCTGGTAGTACGTGTGCTTCAGGTGAATCCTGTCCTCCGTTTCGGCCATTTGGACCGCCTCGTCCAAGCGCCCAGTGGCCTGCAGCAGCTTGTTGAGCAAATCGAATCGCTTGCAGCGTCTGTACAGATCCTTGGCCTCCTCGATCATGCCCAGTTCGATGGCCAGAACGGCCACTTTGGCCTCCGTCTCGAGATCATCGTCCTCCATGGCCTGGCGCAGGGCGCGAACGGAACGTGCCTGCTCCAGGTGGCCCATGCACACCTTGGCCACGTCCAGGCGGTTCGTGTGGACGCACATCTTGGCCAGATTCGTCCAAATGACCTTCGACTGGATGGAGCGAATGCTGCGGTAGGCCAGATCCATGTTCCCCTCCGCCACGTGCAGGCTGAATTTTAGGACCAGCTTCCTGGTGGCCGCATCGCACTGCCGCAGATCGGCAAAGTCCTGCAGCGGCTGCTCCTCCACCACATTGATCTTCAAGCGGACGACGCTGGGCACGCACAGGTTCAGCAGCTGACAGCCGGCGGCCAAGGGCTGCGACTCGAGCAGATTCAGGCCTGAGCCCTGACTCTGATCCGAGTAGAACATCAGCATGATCTGCGACTGGACAAAGTGCATGGGCGGCTGATGGGCGTTGGAGTTCTTGGCCGTTGGCTGGGGCTTTTGCATCATCGACTTCACCTCCATGGCGAGGAGACGCGGCTCGTCGGTGTCCCAGAACAGCCGCACCGGCAGACTGGTCTCCTCCTGCAGGTCGTACTCGAACAGATTGTTGCGCTCAAAGTCCCAGCAGAAGAGCGCGGAGCGAGGCATGAAGCTGCTGTTGGCTATGACCATGGCCAGGTGGCTGCCCTGGCTGTTGCACTTCACCAGAATGAACTCACCAAAGTCATCGAAGATGTCGTGGCCCGACTTGCTGGGAAACAGCAGCTTCGGATCGTGCCGCGACACATCGTACGCCTTCACATACCCGTTCATGGTGAAGACGGAGAGGTAGCAGCCACTCAGGTCCATGCCAATGATCTTTCCCTCAATATCGCTGGACTGAATGCGATGCAGCACCACACCGCCCACGGAGTACACCATAATGTCGCTGCTCGCCAGGCAGAAGATGTTCTGGTTCTGGAGGCACAGCAGCAGGCACTCGGCGGGAAAGGTTTGCAGCAGCTTCACGCTCAGCGAGGCAGGAGAGGCTGTGGATGCGGGAGGTTCGCCTCCGTCCACTGGCACCGCCTCCAGCACCTCGTCGAATTCATCCAAGCTCTTGTCCACCTTCTGGAGGCTGTACGAGGAGATGCTCCGCCCGTTGCTCATCACCAGACTCAGCTCGTTGAGGGCCAGAGCCGTCACTGCAAACTCGGACTGGACACTCGTCTGCCGGCCGCTGCAGTGCGTCAGCTGCACCGACTTGGCCGAACGCTGCACCGCCCACAGCTCGCGGGTGTGAAACGCCAGCAGCGGCTGCTCCTTCAGCATGTACACATTCGACAGACAGTTGACCAGCATGCAGGGCTTCGACAGCTCATTGAATCCCCACTCGCAGCTCCTGACGGCGCCGCGCACTGAAGAGATGTTCGTCAGCTGCCAGATATCCTCGGGCGCGGTCACCAGGCGACTGCCACTGCGCTTCCAGGTGTACAGGTTGCCCAGGGAGGTGCCCGCGCACAGAGTCTGATAGCTGGCACTGTACGCCAGGCAGCTAAAGATCTCGCCGCTGTTCAGCTGCCCGTACTTGATGGGCTTGCGCGGCAGTATGCTGCTGCCCTCGCTGCTGTCCTGTCTAAAGAGATTGTGCGACGAGGAGCTGGTGGTATTCGTGGTATTCGTGGCATTGGCCAGGCTGGAGAGGGTGGAGTTCCAATGGCTAGTGCTGGGCAGATCCATTCTTAAGAGATAGTTGTCGCTCCGTTCAATGTCCCAGATACGCACAAAGAGATCGCCTGCAAAGGGAAGGAGTGGATTATTTAAGGGCACAACAGAAAATGCCAAGTAATGCCTCCCCACCTGTGATGATGGCCAAACTGTTGCCTGACCAGGCTATGCCACCCTGCCTGCCGCCACCACGTCCGCTCATCTTCACTCGATCCAGTTCCGTGAGAATGCCCGTGGACTCGACCAGGAACAGAACCACAGTCAAGTCCTCCATCAGACAGATGACTGCATCCCTAAAACAGCAAACGGATGAGATTTCCCACAACTTTTCTTTGGATTTTTCTTACTTTTTGGGATGCCAGAGCATCTGGACTATGGGCGGCAGAGAGCCGCACTTCATCACCTCGACGCAGGCGCCGCCCTGATTGATGTAGTAGACCACGCCTCCTTGTGTGCAGCCATAGAAGCAATGATTGTCCCGAACTCCCGAATGGGTCAGGCCACGGGCAGCGGTGCGTGGCCGCCAGTTTGTGAGCGTGTCCAAGGCATTCTCATCGCCGGCCACCGCCGCCTTGGCCAGATTTGCCATCTCCTCACGCACCTCGCTCTCCACGGTGCGTCGAAAGCAGACCAACAGCAGCACCTCCCGCAGATCGTGCGAGAACATGGTCAGGAACTGATACTGTCCATCGCAGCGCCAGCCGGTGACTAGACCCATGGCATCCGCCGTGACCATGCGTCCGCCCTGCTCGCTGAATTGCAGCAGCACAATGGCCGCCTTGTGGGGTGCATTGACGCTGGCAAACTCCCGATGGCCGGCAAACCAAACGTGTATGTCACCGTGCTCCCAGCCGCTGGCCAGCAGCGCCTTCTCCGGATGCCAGCACAGGGCTGTGGCCTGCGACGTGGCATGCACCGGATAGGTTACATCTCTTTGCGGTTCACCCTAAAAATAAGTCTCAAATGAGATACTAAACTATGCAAAGACGGAAAAACTCACGGTATCTGCAAATATGGTGACGGAACCGCCTCGATCCGGGCTGAAAGAGGCCACGGCAAAGAGCGGCTCATTAGGATGCCAACTGCTGATGGTGCTCACTGCATCCGAGTCCAAGAACTCAATTTTAGTGTCAAAGTACAGCGTCATTTCGCAATTTTCCTCTCAACTGCGGCACACAAAACCACAACAAAACGAAAAGTGGCGCCGCTGGGCAACGGTTGCCATGGTTGCATTTGATTTTAACAGGCTAACGGTTATTTGCCAGCCCTGGAAAGGACAGGGTCGCTGGCACTTTTAGGAGCGCGCAAAAGTACCAACAAAACAAATAAATGAGAGGCCAGATAAGTGGATTATTTATGTAGTTGCATTTAATCACCTTGGAATTTGTTTGCTAATGATAAAACCCCTTGTATGCATGTTGACTATTCCATGACTATTCAGCGTAAGTTATATCCAAGTGAAGGTAAGGCAGTGCCTCAGTTGGCACCAAAAGCTGCTTCCAGACGTCATGCAAACAAAGAGAGAGAATTAACGGCCCGTACCTGCATTTTAATATTCGCTGACTCAGACTACAAGCAAATGCACACACTAGTGCAATTGCGTGATTACCCAGCAAACCAGCGAACGAGACTTTTGCGAGAGTCTCGCAATATGCGCAGGATAGAAAGCAGAGAAACGAAAGAATTGAGGACAACAAAAATTATATTCTAAAATGTATACCTCATTAGATTACAAACCATTACTACAATTTTTAATTTAAAAATGAATCCAAATGCAGCGTTTTTTCTTCGATATATTTTTCGAGGTTTTGGTTTGCTGGGTGTACAGGCGGCACTAAATAGTTTCACGTACATACGCACGTATGTCACCCATATATAGATATGTATGTACGTATGTGCAAATGAAATCACCGGCAAACAACTCCAAGCGCTTTTCGCGCTGCTACTGCGTATCATTCGCATTTTGTGAACTCTTTGGATATGGCCGATAATCAAGAAGCGCTCGCAGGAAAGATTCTGAGAATCGCTGGAGCCGTAATCCTGCCCAATGTGGGCGGCATTGTTAACGGGCAGCTGACTCGGAGGAATCTCAAAAATTGGTATGTAAACCTGAACTTTCCATCGTTCAGGCCGCCCAACTGGGTTTTTGCCCCGATGTGGACATCGCTGTACGCTGGCATGGGCTATGGCTCCTACTTGGTGTGGCGGGATGGCGGCGGATTTGGTGGCGAGGAGGCGCGCCTGCCCCTGATTGCCTATGGCACCCAGTTGGCTCTGAACTGGGCCTGGACACCGATCTTCTTTGGCCAGCACAACATCAAGGGCGTGAGTGTCATCAGATTTATCATTTTGAAGTTGTTTTATCTCTAATCCATTTCATGCTTCAGGGGCTTATTGATATCATCGCTCTGACGACCACTGCCAGCGCTTGTGGCATACTCTTTTACCGTGTCAACAAGGTCGCCGGATTGCTCTTTGTCCCCTATGTGGCCTGGCTGGGCTTCGCCACGGCTCTGAACTACGCGATGTGGAAGCTTAATCCCGAGAAGGATGCTGGGGAGGAGGAGAAGCCCACGACCTCTTCTCATGCCAAGTCGAACTAGGTCGTGGTGGCTTCACACTGGATTGTTGTTTGTGATTTGTAATTGTTTTTATTGAAAATGTAATTGCACAAAAATAAATGAAATTGTTAGTACCAGGGATGCATTAGCTGTTTTTCTTGGCATATCGATAACTGATAACTGTTCTAATTGTGTGTGAAAAATGCGCGGTAAATTCAAAATGCAAGGGAGCCGATTGAAAGAAAGCGAAAATGATGCACTAATTGGAGCCTCCTGGTGCTGGAGCAGCGGCAGTTGGTGCGGGCGGGGTACCGGCCTTCGGGGTGGCAGCTTTGGGTGCTGCGGCTGCCTTTGGCACGGGCGTGGCCTTCGCGGAGGGCGCATTGTTGGTTGGTTTCTGTTGCTGTGCTGCAGCCGGCGCTGCCTGCTTGGGAGGCGACGCCTTGTTACCTTTGCCCTGTTGCTGCTGCTGCTGTTGGTTGGCCGGACTGGCAGTCTTTGGGGCCGCTGGCTTACCGGGGGTCTGTGCTGGTTTGGGCGCCACCGTCGGCTTGGGAGCTGCCTGCTTTTGCTGCTGCTGATGCTGTTGTTGTGGTTTATTGCCAGCTGCCTGCTTCTGACCCTGACCCTGAGATGGCTGACCTTGAGACTGGGGCTGTGGCTTGGCTGGTTGCTGTTTTGGCTTCTGGGCCGCTTCCTGTTTCTTGCCATTGGCTGCTGCTGCCGCTTGCTGCTTCTGTGGCGGAGCAACTGCAACCGGCGATGGGGGCGTAACTGTGGCCGGCGATGGTGGAGTAACAGCGGCTGCCGATGGTGGAGCTGAGGAGGGCGTCGATGGTGGTGTAGCTGGAACCATCGGTGAGGGTGCCTCTGGCGACGGCGGAGCCACTGCAGCAGACGGTGTGGGAGCAGCTGCAGGAGCCGTTGCAGGAGCTGGTGCAGCAGCTGTTGGAGTGGCAGCCACCGCAGTTTGTGGTGCGGGAGCTGTGGCCACATCTGGTTTGCTCTGAACCGCTGCCTTCTGCTCAGCGGGTGGTGTTACTTGCTTGGCTGCTGGCGGCGGGGTCTTTTGCTTTGGCGACGCTGCCTTTGGGGCATCCTTTGGTGGCTCTGGTTTCTTCTCAGTCGCCGCTATGGCGATGGCTGTTGGTGCAGCTGCCAGTGGCTCGACTGCCTTGACTTGGACCACATCCGAGGCAGACTTTGCTTCTGCGGGTGGCGTCACTTGTTTTGCTGGCGGCGGCGTCTTTTGCTTCTGTGGCGATGCTGCCTGTTTGGGCTGCTTCTCTGTTGTACTCTTTGGTGGACTGGCCTGCTTTGGCTTCTCGGTTTCTGGGCTCTTGGGTGCGCTCTTCTGGGGACTGGCTTGCTTGGCCTCTGGCTTCTTCTCGGTCTCCACAGTTGTAACCGGCGGAGCTATGGTCGGTTCCACTTTGACTGGCACAGGCACTGCCACTGCCTGCTGCAGTGGAGCAGGAGCAGGTGCAGGTGCAGGCTCGCTCTTTTGCGGCTCTTTCTTTTCCTCGATCTTTGGAGCAGCGGCTGCTTCGACTGGAGGCGACGGCTGCTTTGTCGGCTCAGCGGCCACAATCTGTGCCAAAGTTTGGACAGCGGGTGGTGTCCGTGGCTTGGCTGGTGCCTCTGTAGCAGTCGTCTTTGGCGGTGTTGCGGTTGCTGGTTTGGCTTCAACTTTTTGCTCCGTTGGCTTGGGCTGCTCCACCTTCTGCTCCGTTGGCTTGGGCTGCTCCACCTTCTGCTCCGTTGGCTTGGGCTGCTCCACCTTCTGCTCCGTTGGCTTGGGCTGTTCAATCTTTGCTTCCGTCTGCTTTGGCTGCTCAACCTTTTGTTCAGTTGGCTTTGGCTGCTCCACCTTTTGCTCCGTTGGCTTGGGCTGCTCAATCTTTGCTTCAGCTGGCTTTGGTTGTTCAATTTTCTGTTCCCCTATTGGCTTCGGGGCATCCTGCTTCTTATCCTTAGCAGAAGGAGGCGCTGCCTGGGGCTTAGCCTCCGCTTTGTTCTTGTTGGGTTTCTCTTTGTTGGCCTGTGGCTCGTTCTTCTTTACATCTTTATCCTGTGTCTGTACCTGTGCCTGGGTCTGTGCCTTGGCTGGTGTCTTCTTGTTGTCTTGTTTTTCCTTGGGTTTGGCAGCCTCCGCTGGTTTCTGTTGTTTCTGCTCCTGCTTCTTGCGATCCTCCTTCTTGGGCTGCTGCTGCTGCTTGGCCTCCTGCTTGTCCTTCGGTTTGTTTTCCTGTGCGGGTTTCTTTGCCTGTTCCTGCTCCTGCTTGGTGGCTTCTAGCTTGGCCACCTCATCAAAGTCCTCCACCAGCAAGGGCACATCATCATCCTCGTCGGCGGTGCTGGGTTTACCATCTCCTGCAGCTGTAGCTGCCTCTGGCTTGGCATTATTCGACATGGCATTGGCATACATGCGCAATTGGACGATCGTCTCCTGCCCCAACTGTGGCAGAATATCTGGCAGCATTTCGACAACCTTCTTGGTCTCGCCATGGCCGGTGACGGCGAAAGTGTTGGCCGAGAGTGAGGCCTGGGCCTTGGGATTGTTGAAGTGAATCACGGTCAGGTCGTCCTTGATGATGTTGACCTCCTCGATGCCGGGTATGGTGCTCACCGAGAGCTTCTTCAGTGAGCTCTGCAGCTTCTTGTCATCGGTGGCCGCCGTCTGGTGCATGACCTTCTTCTTGCGCCTCGGTGTGCCCTTGCCACCGATGCGCACCTGGGCCTGCAGGCGCTTCAGTTTCTCCACATTCATGGCGATATATACCTTAGATTACTGCTGGACGAGTCGAATAGATAGAGAGGCAAAGGGTTACATACAAATATTACATAAAATGGCGACAGAACTTACCTCAGTTAGGACCAAAGAGATACAGAGACGATGTGCAACTCCACGGGCAAAATCACGAATGCAGCAGCAGCCAGGCAACAGCCAGAAGATCCACGACGATTCATCCACTCGAAAGAGCCAACCGAAGCAGCAGCGGCAGCGGCAGCGGCAGCGCTGCTTTTATTAATAACGCGCAAAGATTCGCAGGTCTCGTCTTTGCTTTTCTTTTCTCTTTTTTTTTTTTTTTGCATATTTTCGCAAGAGGAAAACAAGAAAAATGTACCCCCAAAATGTATAAATAGCTTCACCATTTCCTTCACACACACACACACACACTGTGTGCCGTGCCTGTGGGCCGATGTTTTAGTTTATGCAGGAAAATGCTCGGCGTGTGGCTGCCAAAGCGGCTGTTGAACTGTGCATGGGATGTGGCATATGCGGCGGGATGGGACACCTCCCTCCCGAATGTGTGTGTCGAAAATAGACGGCGAACTTCTGTCACTTGCAGCAGCAGCAGAACGAACGAACGAACTCACTCACTCACTCTACTCTCTCACTGCGAAAAACATTACCATTACCAAACTGCAGGCACCGTACTGACGCAGGAGCACGCTGCGTCTGTCTGTGGCATGCCGCATGCATTGGTGCGGAAAGACTTCAGTCTGTACAAATTAAAGGCTCATCTCATGACAATTTTCTCTCCTGCAAATATTCTCCTCTATTCCTATTATTCTTATTTACAATTCATACAATTTCGGGTGGTGTAATAGAAAAATTACAGGGAAATGTTATATCAAATTTCAGAGCCATTTCAAACGGTGTCGATGGTGGCCACGCGTGTGGCAAATTTGGTCAGCTTGTAGACATTTACGGAGGGACATTCTTCGTATACCTGCTTGTGCATGTCCGCTTCCTGCTCCACAATATGTGCCACAGAAGCATAGTGCTTGCCCTCCGCCTCTAATTTGGCCAGCGTGATCAGATTCTGAAATCATTCGAGTTCGTTTAAGAGAAACAAATAAGCGGATAAATTCTCGTGCTCACCTCGCGAAAGCGCATCTTCAGCTGCTCCAGCTGTGCGTTCTTTTTCTCCTCATCCAGAGCAGTGTATTGATGCTCCAAGTGAAAGTCCTGTGCCTGCAGCACATGCGGCGGAATGTGAAAGTATTTCTTGTCCAGCTCACGTAGAGATTTCATGCTCTTCTTGGAGACAGCCTGCACGCGACACATCACCGCATCCTTCTGCGAGCTCAGCAGTGCCGAGGTGGCCGGCGTTTCTATCTTTTTAATAGCATTTTCAATGGCCTTGCCAATGATGCTTTGCACCAGATGCTCGCCTGTTTGCAGAGGGAAAAGAAAGGCCTGAGGGACGCCAAACATGACTTGCTCCAATCTTGCACTTACGTTCGGACGATATCTGGTCAGCGGTATAGTTGAAGAACTTGAGATCGTAGGCGCTCTCGTAGAAATGCATTTTAACAGATTCGGAATGTGATTCAAGTTTAATTTGAGAAACAAAAGAAAATAAACAAATATTTTCAAAGAAAATCGCGCTAATTTTTATTAATGTGACCGGATGCAGAAATCACGAAAATGCCCTACAAGAAAAGAATTTTTGGGCAGAAAGTCGGGCATGCAGTCCAGTTGGGGCTTGCTTTGTGGATGTCAGTGCTGCCGTCGTCGTTGGAGCTGGGAAATGCGATTCCCTGTTGTTGCTGCTGTGCTACTGTTTTGTTGCTAATTGCAAAGAATTACAGCTGCTGCCTCAGCGCAAATTGTGTGTGAGAAAACAGCACACACACACAGACGGGGCCGTAATTTAAGAGGCTGAATTTCGATTTGTACGTGTCCCGCAACTGCGCTGACGTCTCTTAGTTAGTTTATGAGTCCAGATATTGATTTGTTAGTATGTGTTGCTTGGTTTTGAGCGCTTTTGGGGCATTATTTTCTATTTTTGTTATAAAAAATTTCTCAAACCAAAGAGGGAACTATCGATAGTATCGATATTTTGCTGCTAGCCTCTACTATCGATGGTTTGAAAACTATCATGATAGTATCGAGCTTCAGTCGTTGCGCTTTTGATATGTTTGGATTATCTGCTATAAAATACGAAGACAAATTTGTAAACAAATCGACAGGTGGACAAGTTCCTAAAAGGTTTCAATGGTTTTTTAATTATTATTTGAGCCCGATACTTTTACGATAGTATTGAATGTTTTTTTCAAAACATTCAACATTGATATTCCTGGATTTTGATATTCCGTTTAATATTACTAGCTAGTTGGGACTCTCAGCCCTACACACATAATTTTATCCGACTCCTCAATTAATTTTGTTCAGGATTTGCTAGTTTTCAGAACACTTTTTCATTGGATTGTTTACATAATAAGGTTCAAACAACTTACCGCACGAATGTGTTAAATTCCACTTGACTAAATGATTTGAAGAGGTAAAACATGGGACAAACGGGGCGGCGGTTTGTGTATTGGTCCGGCTTCTTCGGATATGCTAGTTTCTTCATCCGGCTAGGTCGCACAGGGCCCACAGCTTGTTCCTGGTACTGGGCTGACGCATTGCTGGTCGCAGCAGTGGCACTGGCTCCAGCCTTGCTCGTATCCATCTTGTCCTGTGCAGTGTAGTGTGTAGTCCTGGAAGTCCTGTCAGTGGCAAGTCCTAGTAGCCGGTAGCCGGGTAGCGGGCTCTCGTAGCGTCGCGTAGCGTCCGTTTTGCAGTTTTTGCAGCCCTAGCTATGCTATCGATACGAACACAATACTATCGATTGTTGTACGTTTACGTCCAGTTGAGGTCCTTACCAATCCTTATCAGAAGCTATAGTTATAGTTATAGTCTAGCTATAACTAGCTCATCTCATGAGATCCATCTCAATTGCAATTTATATAAATCTAATTTCTAAATTTATATCGATACTATCGTTTCGGCAACGATCCAGCCCTAGTGAAAGATCCGTTATAATATGGGTTGTGTGTGTGTGATGACGCGGCGCGCCAAAGCGCTTAAACTAGCTTAAACGCTGAAACTAACTACGTAAAGAAACTACGTAACGTAACGTTAACTTAGTTAGTAAGTATCTAGTAACAGTAGTTACCTTACCTGCAGTTAAGTGGAGCAACAGACCGACATATTAGCATAGTTACGTGTGTGTATGTGTGTGTGCGTTCGCGGACGCGCGCCAAATCGGCTTAAACTCTCTCACTGAAACTCGCTTAAACGCCTAAACTAACTACGCACCATGTAGTATCTACGTACCGTTAACTTAGTTAGTAACGATATAGTACCAGTAAATACCTTACCTGTAGCAACAGCCGGCATCACATTTTGAGCATATACGTGTGTGTGTGTGGACGCGACGCACCAACAGCTGTAATAATGAGTAAAAGGATATACGTTGTCTTGGTTGGATGACCAGGCCGCCGCCACAGGTAACGACCATGTTGACCATGACCAAGAATGTAAGTAGCGACGACGACTTCGATGTGACGTCGAGCAGTGGAGATTCGGATGAGTCCGACCACATTTCGCAACAGGACGCCGCATCATGCCCGTCCACAGTGACTACGGTTATAAACGTGTACGGCATCCTCCTAAACAGTGGAAATGCGGGCCAGGCGCTGCTAAAAAAGAAGCGCAAAAACGTAAAGCTCAAAGGGACGCAACAGAGGAAGCTCGTAACGCTTGTGGGAGAGTACTTTGTACATAATAACATTCACATGACGCTGGGAGACGCCAGATATTTAGAAGCCAACATGCGAAGGGTTTTTCCGCTGGAGCAAGAGGAAAAGTGGTGTGATAGGTTCTATACCTGGTTCACCAACAGGAAAACAAGAGAGAAAAAAAAGGACAAGGCCGCCGATATCCCAAACTCCAAATCTTCGGTGAACAGCAACGGTCGCCAAAGGCTCCAAGCGGCTTTGGGACGTCACCACCAAAAGTCCGAAAGTCCCACAGAGACGGCGAGCAGTAGCAGCAGCAGCGGTTTCTCTTCCAGGGACAGCAGAGACCAACATCGGCAGGATACGGATAAGTCGCAAACCAGCGCCATTGCCAAGCGGGATACCTTCGCATCGCAGCAGCAGCAGCAGGCGGCCCTCTCGCAGGAGACTGTAGTGAATCGCTCCAGACTGGCCATTGAGGCGCTATGGGGCGTCAGACTATGCGCCACATCCCACAGGGATAGTGTTGCGACGCGTGGGCTACTACACGATACCCTCGCTGGATGATCTCAAGTCCTACCTGGCCGAGGATGGGTCCTGTGTGGTGCCCAATTTCACCATTGGACGCGAGGGCTATGGCACTGTGTTCTTTGCCATGGAAATGGACGTGGCTGGACTGAATCTGGATGAGATTGGTAAGTGATTGGGGAGGAGCCAGGCCAGACAAGCATCATCCGCCAAGAACTATTCTCGCTCTCTCTCTGCAGTTTACTTCCGTAACAAGGGGATCATCATTTATCCTGACGATGAGAAGAGGCCGCCTATCAACCAAGGCCTGAATCGTGAGGCACAAGTCACCCTCGAGCAGGTATGGCCCGTGAACAAGACCCAGACCCAGCCTGTGCTTGTTGTGAAGGATGCGCAGCGTCTGATCGAAATGAATTGGGAGGGACATCTGCGTTGCGCCTGCTATGCAAACGATACGCGCTTCGTCGAGTATCGCCCAGAGACTGGCAGTTGGGTGTTTTGTGTGAAGCACTTCTCCAAGTACGGCCTGGACGAGGACGATGACAAGATGACGCTCCATTCGTTGCGGCCCAGCGTGTACCCGAGGATATGCGGCACAAGGTTCCGCGGCCGGTTCCTCGTCCAGTGACACATCCGCGCGCGCACTCTTCTTCTTCGCCAATTCGTCCTTTGACAGAAAACTGCTTTTTGGTATTTTCGGTATTTTTATGCGGCCTAGCCCCGGTTTGGTGTTTGCTGATTATTTGGTCATACTGTACTGTCGTGCAATAGTAATCATTTCTATTTCAAGGGCTCAATGTTTTTACGAAGATATCTCCTTCCCGCCGCCAAATTCGTTCGTACCAAGCATTACCAGCACATTGTGCTGCATCCAGAGATACAGTATGCCCTGCGGCATGACCAGCCAGTGGTGGCTCTGGAGTCGACGATCATAACACACGGAATGCCGATGCCAGAAAACGTGACAACGGCGCTGCAGGTGGAGGAACAGGTGCGCCAACACGGAGCCATTCCCGCCACCATCGGCATCATTGATGGCTGCATCCGGGTGGGCCTGACACAGGAGGAACTCACGGCACTGGCCAAGAAACCGCGGGATGAGGTGATCAAATGCTCTCGCCGCGACCTGCCCTACGTCGTGGCCAGGGCACAAAGCGGCGGCACAACGGTGGCTGCCACAATGATAGTCGCCCATCGTGTGGGCATCAAGGTGTTTGCCACCGGCGGCATTGGTGGCGTTCATCGTGAGGGCCACGTCTCCATGGATGTCTCTGCGGACCTAACCGAACTGGGACGCACGCCGGTGGCTGTGGTTTGCAGCGGCGTCAAGTCCATACTGGATATTCCGCGCACCCTCGAGTATTTGGAGACGCAGGGCGTGTGCGTGGCCAGCTACGACAGTCCCGGCGGCGTCTTTCCGGACTTTTACACCCGTGATAGTGGCTGCAAGGCTGCCTACGATCTAGCCACGCCCCAGGAGGCCGCCGATCTGCTCCGCTCCTGGCGGGAGCTAAAACTGCAGTCGGGGGTGCTAATCGGAGTGCCCATTCCGGAGGAATTTGCGGCAGACAAGAGCCAGATGGAGGCTGCCATCAAAGCTGCTGTTGTTCAGGCGCTGACTCAGGGCGTGTCGGGCAAGGAGGTGACGCCATTCCTGCTGGCGGCCATAGCAAAGATCACCCGGGGCAGCAGTCTGCAGGCAAACATTGCGCTGATCAAGAACAACGCCAAGGTGGCGGCCCAGATTGCAGCCGCCTTGGCGGGCGGTCCAGCCAGGAGGCAGAGCGAGGGCAAAGATCATCTAAAGAAACCCCTCGTTGTGGGCGCCTCCATTCTGGATCTCTCCTTCACGGTGGACGATCAGAAGCGGGACATGAAACTGGACGGAGCCACCTACTCGGCGGTGGCCAAGCAGGCGGCTGGCGGCGTGGGACGCAACATAGCCGAGGGCATCTACAAGCTGTACGGCAATGTGAATCTCATATCCGCCGTCGGCAAGGACCAGATGGGCCAAACGTTGCTCCATCTGATGCCCAAGCCGCTGCAGCGTGGCATGATCCAGGACGAGAGTCAGGCCACCTCGCTGTGCTCGCTGATCTTCGACAAGTTTGGCGACTGCAAACTGATACTGGGCAACATGGAGATCCACCAGTGCTCCATCACCCCGGAGACGCTTCGGGCGCACCAGCATCTCTTCCGCGACGCTCCGCTGCTCATCATGGACAGCAACATATCGGAGCAGGCCATGGAGTGCATTCTGCAGCAGGCGCAGCAGTATCAGCTGCCTGTTTTCTTTGAACCCACCGACATGTTCATCGCCGGGAAGCCCTTCCACCTGCCATCCGACCTCACGCAGCACATTCGCCTGATCAAACCCAATCTGCACGAACTGAAGACCATTGTGGAGGCAATCACTGGCCAAACGGTCGACTGGCAGCCCGACACCAAAGTGGATCGTGTGCAGCTGCTGCAGCAGACCAAGGAGCTGCTGCAAAAGATTGAATCGCGCTTCAACTGCATCATTGCCACGCTGGGTGATCATGGGGTGCTGCTCAGCTGTCGGTCGGATGCCGAAACGGATGCGAGTTGCCTGCTCGATGCGACAGCGTCCAAGGTGCCGCCACACACCACCCGCTTCTATGCTGCACCCATAGTGCCCAACATTGTGAATGTATCGGGCGCTGGGGACAGCTTTTGTGCTGGCTTCATCACTGCCCTGCTGCAGGGACGCATCCTGGACGAGTGCGTGGCAGCGGGCTTTGTGGCGGCCGAGCGGGCCCTGCAATCCGAATCGGCAGTGCCAGCGACATACTTCAGCAATGCGAATGCCTTCGAGGATCGCTACAAGCAGACACTGAAGACGCTGCAGCAGCAGAGCATTTAGAGGCGCATTTATACTCAGGACCTTAGCTTTATTTCTCTCCCTCCCCAAGTAGTTTCCTAAAGTGTACAACAGACGATGCGATGCTCCTAGTAGGCCCAGCTGCAAGTGGAAATTAAAAAGAATTGTTGAATGTTTGTAGCCCAGAAATTAATTGGATTAATTAAACTTACAGCTTGATCACCTTATCCTTGCCGCCAGAGGCCACCCGAGAGCCATCCGGCGCCCAGTCTACGCCGAAAACCTCGTCCGCATGTCCAGGCAGCTCCTGGGCCAGCTTTTTCGTTTGTACGCTCCAAACTGCAAGAAAGAGAAGGGTGAAAACTGACAGCCAAGCCACCTCTAGGAGCTCTGCCCTACCCTTCAGTGTGGAATCTCTGCTGCCGGAGCATATCAGACGGGAATCCGCTGACCAGGCTATGGTATAGACGGCCTGCACATGACCGCGGAATGTGGCCATGTACTGGCCATCGGAGGCACGCCACAGGCGCACAGACTTGTCGAAGGAGGCCGAGGCAATGAGCTTCACATCCGGCGAGTACTTGACATCGTTGACGACATTCTGGTGGCCAGTCATGCGCTCCACGCACTTGTTTGTGTTGTTGCGCCACAGATAGAGGGTGTTGTCATCCGAGCAGGATACCAGGGACTCCACCTCATCGGGACACACAGCCTGGTAGCGTTTCAGGGCCGAGGCCTGCAGCTCCTCCGCTGTATATTAAAAGAGGAAAGGCCATAAAAAATGCTGCAGAATGGAGAGTCTGAAGGGATATTTCTTACGTGTCATGCTCAGGTAGGACTTGGTGCGATCCTTGACCGGGTGGAAGGGTCCCGTGCGCAGCACATAGTCCGTGCTCAGGGCAATATTGTTCACCCAATGGGCATGGCCGGTGAAGGTGCGGCACAAGATGCCATCGGCAGCGCGCCACATCTTGATGCTGCGATCCTTGGACGAGGTGTAGATGAGCCCAGCGCCGCCCCAGCGTACCGCAGTCACGGCATTCGTGTGTCCGGCAATGTTGAGCAGACACGAGCCCAGTTTCACATCCCAGATGCGGCAGTCGCCGTCGCTGCTGGCGGATGCGAGCTTGCGGCATTCGGGATTCTGATGGAATGGCTCCCAGGCGAGGCAATTGATGTGCTTCCTGTGGCCTGCCAGTGTGCGTCCCACCTGCTGGCCCGTCTCCGGATCCCAGATGATGATTTTGCCCGCCTTGCAGGCACTGGCCAGGCGCTTGCCATCCGGTGCCCAGGCGACGCACAGCACCCATTGCTTGTGGCCGCTGCACGTGAAGTGTGGCGTCTCCGTGGTCAGATCCCACAGGCGGACTGTGGTGTCACCGCTGCCGCTGGCCAGATGAGCGCCATCCGGACTGAAGTTTAGCGAGACCACCGCCTCGGCATGGCCGGGCATGGAGCTGGTGCATCGGGTGACTGGACGAACCTTGAACACGGCCTGTGGCTGGTAGACAATGTCAATCACATTCTCTGTGTCCACTGTGCCCAGGTCGAGGGTGTCCTCGAGGCTCTTCTTGATCTCATCCTCGCCCACAAAGAACAGATAAGGTGTCGCCTCCTCGTTCTTCAGAAGCGCATTGCAGATGAGACCCAATTGTTGCGTCGTTATGCCCGCCGGCAGGTCTATGGGCGGTCCTGCCTCCTCGCCTGTGTCGGATATCAGACGTGCCTGTATTGTCTGTGGTGTGGCCTCCACCTCCGTGTCCACTTCCACGCTTATTTTCGGTTTTTTAGCAAACATTTTACGAATAACAACAATAAAACACGTGCCGCGGACTAGTGTGGATAAACGCGAAAAAAAACCCAAACCAATCCATTCATCGGCAATCGGCAATCGTGACGGATTTTCATCGAAAAAATTTCCCTTATATTTCCCATACACACTTACAACCTTTTCTGCTTAAGGCATATTTTATAAACAATCCAATGAAAAGAAGTTCTTAAACTTAGTCAGTTTTGTGAAAAATTGATTCATCCATCGAATAAAATTATGTTTTCAGTTCTGAGGGTCCTATCTAGCTTGATATATTAAACGGACTATCAAAATCGAGAAATATGGTTTTCAATTATGAACAAGGAACGATTAGCCCATTGTCGACCAGTGGGTATTTAAATATACCTCACGAGAATTTGGAAACTTTAAAAATATATGCCCAGTTCAGGTGAAAGATATCTTGTATTGTACTTCAAAAGGATGGATGGACAAGAAATATGTACAACAGTGTTATTTCCCGCGATTTAACTCTAGTTGTTAGCCTGTTTAAATAGAGGGGGGTTTAGTGGGCTAAGTTTTTTCTCTCATCACTGATTTATGGTAAATCGGTATGTTTCGATAAATCTTCACCCTGCATGTACGCGTCTTTACAATTTGTTGTTAAAAATGGAAAATATTCCGCGAACACATGAAGGTGAGCCAAAGCAAGCAACTAATTAGCTCTCCTGCAGGTCATAGAAGATGGGAACACTAGAATCCTGCGTGCGGAGCCCCTAAAACGGCCCACAAAAGTGCACCCGGTTTGGTTTGCCCTCCCTCCCCTCATACGAAAATCAATTATTTCATCAACATTCTTTGTGACCCATTTCAGACATCGAGGCGCAAATCTCTGTTATACAGGAGAAGAAAACGGAGCTGGCCAAGACCACTGCAGCAGCGGAGGGCGTGGGACTGTTGGACAGCGGCGGATTCTTCGACACCGATTTGTACGACGAGGAGGCGGCCAAGGGCAAGGGCCGCTATGAGGGCTACAACACATCGATCGCCGCCAATGACGAGGGCGATGAGGACGAGGACGATGGCTTCCCAGTGCCACAGAAACGCACCACATACACGGCGCCCATTTCGGTGCTGAAGGATGTCACCCAGGGCAAGGAGGATGTGGATCCATTTGCGGATCGACGGCATCCGACCATTGCCGATCGTGAGGATGAGTACAGGCAGAAGCGGCGTCGCATTATCATCTCGCCAGAGCGCGCCGATCCCTTTGCCGATGGCGGCAAGACCCCGGATGTGGGCTCCCGTACCTACACAGACATCATGCGGGAGCAGATGCTCAAGGGCGAGGAGACCGAGCTGCGGCGCCGCATCATGGAGAAATCCAAGGACGGTACGCTGGTGAAATCTTCCGCATCATCGCAATCATCATCGTCGAACGGCGACAGCTCCTCCAAAGATAGCAGCTCACGGAAGCGTGGCCGCTGGGATCAGACGGTCAGCGATAGCTTCATACCGGCCAAGGTGGCGGCCACACCAAGCAGTGCAGCCACACCCACCTGGGAGGATGTGAGTATAGCTGGGATGCAGCATCCATTTAGAGCACTTTTCAATCTCTGTTTTCGTTGCAGAAAACACCCGGAGATCATCGCTGGGATGAGACTCCCGGCCACAAGGGTAGCGAGACGCCCGGCGCCACACCGGGACTGGGCACACGCATCTGGGATGCCACACCGGCACATGCCATGACACCGGGACATGAGACACCTGGCCACGAGAAGTCGGCGCGACGCAACCGCTGGGATGAGACGCCAAAAACGGAGCGCGAGACGCCCGGACACAGTGGCTGGGCCGAGACCCCCAAGCCAGATCGCACGGGCAGCGGTGCCGGCGGCGAGAGCATCTCCATTGAGTCGACTCCGGGCGCCTCGAAGCGTCGCTCCAGATGGGACGAGACCCCATCGAATGCCACGCCCGCTATAACGCCGACAAATGCCAGCGCCATGACACCGAACATGACGCCCAGCATGACGCCGCATGCCACACCCGGCCATGCCACACCGATGCTCACACCCGGCGGCAGCACTCCGGTGGGTGTGAAGGCCATGGCCATGGCCACGCCCACAGCTGGTGCGCTGGCCGCCATGACGCCCGAACAGCTGCAGGCCTATCGCTGGGAGAAGGAGATCGACGAGCGGAACAGGCCCTACACCGACGAGGAGCTCGATCAGATGTTCCCGCCCGGCTACAAGATACTGCCGCCACCCGCCGGCTATGTGCCAGTGCGGACGCCCGGCCGCAAGCTGATGGCCACACCCACGCCCATCGCTGGCACCCCGGCGGGCTTCTTCATTCAGGTGGAGGACAAGAATGCCAAATTCATGGATAATCAGCCAAAGGGGCAGAATCTGCCCTTTATGAAGCCCGAAGATGCGCAGTATTTCGACAAGCTGCTGGTGGACGTCAACGAGGACTCGCTGTCGCCCGAGGAGCTGAAGGAGCGCAAAATTATGAAGCTGCTGCTGACCATCAAGAACGGATCGCCGCCCATGCGCAAGTCCGCCCTGCGCCAGATTACGGACAAGGCGCGCGAATTCGGTGCGGGGCCGCTCTTCAATCAGATCCTGCCGCTGCTCATGTCGCCCACGCTGGAGGATCAGGAGCGTCACTTGCTGGTGAAAGTCATTGATCGTGTGCTGTACAAGCTGGACGATCTGGTGCGTCCGTATGTGCACAAGATTCTGGTTGTGATTGAGCCGCTGCTGATCGACGAGGATCACTATGCCCGCATTGAGGGCCGCGAGATCATCTCCAATCTGGCCAAGGCCGCCGGCCTGGCCACCATGATCTCCACAATGCGTCCGGACATTGACAACATTGACGAGTACGTGAGAAATACGACAGCGCGTGCCTTTGCGGTGGTGGCTTCGGCTCTGGGCATACCCTCGCTGCTGCCCTTCTTGAAGGCCGTTTGCAAGTCCAAGAAATCGTGGCAGGCCCGCCACACGGGCATCAAGATTGTCCAGCAGATTGCAATCCTCATGGGCTGCGCCATTCTGCCGCATCTCAAAGCTCTCGTGGAGATCATCGAGCACGGGCTGGTGGATGAGCAGCAGAAGGTGCGCACCATCACCGCTTTGGCCATTGCGGCGCTCGCAGAGGCTGCCACGCCCTACGGCATTGAGTCGTTCGATTCGGTGCTGAAGCCCCTGTGGAAGGGCATCCGCACGCATCGCGGCAAGGGATTGGCCGCCTTCCTGAAGGCCATTGGCTACCTGATTCCGCTGATGGACGCCGAGTACGCCAACTACTATACGCGCGAGGTGATGCTGATTCTCATTCGAGAGTTTCAGTCGCCCGACGAGGAGATGAAGAAGATCGTCCTCAAGGTGGTGAAGCAGTGCTGCGCCACCGACGGCGTGGAGCCGCAGTACATCAAGGAGGAGATCCTGCCGCACTTTTTCAAGTTCTTCTGGAACCATCGCATGGCCCTGGACAGACGCAACTATCGCCAGCTGGTGGACACCACCGTCGAGATAGCCAACAAGGTGGGCGCCTCCGAGATCATCAATCGCGTGGTGGATGACCTAAAGGACGAAAACGAGCAATACCGCAAAATGGTTATGGAAACGGTGGAGAAGATCATGGGCAATCTGGGTGCAGCGGACATTGATTCGCGCCTCGAGGAGCAGCTCATCGACGGCATTCTGTACGCCTTCCAGGAGCAGACCACCGAGGATGTGGTCATGCTGAATGGCTTCGGCACCATTGTCAATCAGCTGGGCAAGCGCGTCAAGCCGTATCTGCCGCAGATCTGCGGCACCATTCTGTGGCGACTGAACAACAAATCGGCGAAGGTGCGCCAGCAGGCAGCGGATCTCATCTCGCGGATCGCTGTGGTGATGAAGACCTGCCAGGAGGAGAAGCTGATGGGCCATCTCGGTGTCGTTTTGTACGAGTATCTGGGCGAGGAGTATCCGGAGGTGTTGGGCAGCATCCTGGGCGCACTGAAGGCCATCGTAAATGTCATTGGCATGACCAAGATGACGCCGCCCATCAAGGATCTCCTGCCCCGCCTTACACCCATCCTGAAGAATCGACACGAGAAGGTGCAGGAGAACTGCATCGATCTGGTCGGTCGCATTGCCGATCGCGGACCCGAGTATGTGTCGGCCCGCGAGTGGATGCGCATCTGCTTCGAGCTGCTGGAGCTGCTCAAGGCCCACAAGAAGGCCATTCGGCGGGCGACAGTCAACACTTTTGGTTACATTGCCAAGGCCATCGGCCCACACGATGTGCTGGCCACGCTGCTGAACAATCTGAAGGTGCAGGAGCGACAGAATCGTGTGTGCACCACCGTGGCCATTGCCATTGTGGCCGAGACCTGTCGCCCCTTCACTGTCCTGCCCGCCTTGATGAACGAGTACCGAGTGCCCGAGCTGAACGTGCAGAACGGTGTGCTCAAGTCGCTGGCCTTCCTCTTCGAGTACATTGGGGAGATGGGCAAGGACTACATATACGCCGTCTGTCCGCTGCTGGAGGATGCACTGATGGACCGCGATCTGGTGCATCGCCAGACAGCCTGCTCGGCCATCAAGCACATGTCCCTGGGGGTCTATGGCTTTGGCTGCGAGGACGCCCTCACGCATCTGCTGAACTATGTGTGGCCGAATATCTTCGAGACGTCGCCGCATCTGGTGCAGGCCTTCATGGACTCGGTGGACGGACTGAGGGTGTCGCTGGGCTCCATCAAGATACTGCAGTACACGCTCCAGGGGCTCTTCCATCCCGCACGCAAGGTGCGCGATGTCTACTGGAAGATCTACAATTCGCTGTATATCGGCGGGCAGGATGCCCTCATTGCGGGCTATCCAAGGATCACCAACGATCCGAAGAATCAGTACGAGCGTTACGAAATGGATTACATGCTCTAAGGTATGCCCGGCTAGCACTAGGATCGGCAGACACACAAACAAAATATATACACAAATTGTACAAAACCGGGTTTTATTCTACGTTTTGGAGTAGCTCCCATATTCCCTTCTTTAGGGTCCTACTGTGTGGACTAATCTTTTGGCTTACGCAATAATACAAATGTGTGGAGTAGTTTGGTGGAGGCTGCGGCTCCTTGGTCTTGGTCTCTACTTGGCTATCGGTAGAGTATGGATTGGACCACCTCGATGAGGCTCTGCAGTCCGAACATGTAGTTCTCATCGGGCTGGCCATCCTCCGCCGGATACACGTGAGCAAAGTCAATCATACGCACGCGTATCCACTCGGAGGGATCGTCGGAGCAATGATTATGGCCATGATGATGGCCATTGAGCAAAGGCGGGGACGGTGGCGGCTGGGCGCCGAGTCGTGCATAGTCGTAGCAGATGAGCAGGGAGCTGGCATAGAAGTGAAGTAAACGCTGGCGCTTGAACCAGGCGAGGATCTCCTGCAGCTGTCGCAGCACCTCACGCAGCAGAATCTCCGAGCCGGCAGCTCGCGTCTTGGAGTCACTGGTGCTGGCATTGAAGAAGATGCCCATGGTCTGCCGGAAGCCGGCCACATCCAGGCTCTTGCCGTAGTCCTTGCCATGCCGCATGAGCACCGTCTGGCCGGGCACCTCCGCTGGCAGGTAGACCAGGAAACCGGGCAGGCAGAGGCCAAGCTTCTGCTTGCATATCACATACTTTTGCTCCTCCACCTGGCGCTTGTGCGGCGAGGACAGGGGATCCCAGGTGCGGCGACCCATCTTCACGTCCATGACGCACGGCTGCTGCATGCCGCGCGTGAGGTCTTCCAGCCTGACAAATGTGTGCTCGCGCTGATTCACAACCAGTTTGAGATGGCCGTAAAAACGCGGGACGTGACGACCGAGGGCGGCAAGGTCATTATCACCTGGCGCTTCGGCCATGGCTCCCGTCACCGACGCCGCCGCCGCCGCCGATGCCAATGACTCATAAAAGTTGAGTTCCCGCACTTCACACTCGGGCTTGCCCAGCGGCTTCAGCACGCATCCTGCAACAGAGTCCTGCAGCAGACCCACGGCGGCGGCATTCGTCGCCTCAAATGTGTGTCCGGCCACCTGTGTGGCAAATTGGCGAAATCCCACGGGCAGCGCTGGCCTGGGCAGCTGCACAGCTTCCTGATCCTTTCTGGCCATGTTTTGTGTGGTATCTGGGGTTGTCTGTCCAGGCGATGGGTGGCAGACAGAAGCAACAGCAGCAGCAAACAGAATGTTCAGAAATTTTGCGCAGGAAAAGATTAAAATGGTTGCGCGGTTAACGCTGAATCGGTGATGGCCGATTGGATTTTTTCCTGTTAGATTTGGCTTTTTCCAGTCAGAAATAGCGTGTCTTCAAAATTATGGATTAATAAACATCCAGATCGATAGGGTTTATATGCATAATGCTCGCTAAGTATGGTCTCAACTACTAACTATATAATATAGGGTATAAATTGCATTTACTTAATATAAATATTTAGCCATTTTTCAGTGCAATGTTTCTTTTGTGATTGCCAGCACTATTTCACTGTTGCAGTGTTGCGAAACTTTCAAACAGTGCAAACAGCTAGGGTTGTAAAACTCACGCGTCTTCTAATTTGTTGCTGATGCTTTGGGAGTGGTTTTGTTTGTCAATTATTCATCTTTATTTACCGCATTTGTTATCTGCTGCTGCTGCTGCTGTTTATCCACTCCACTGCGACTGAGATTGCACGACGGCCCATAATGAAATCCTGGGAGATTGCCGTGCTGGCCCTAGCAGCTGTTTATCTGTGCACGCAAGGTGAGTCTTTCGAGTTTTACGGGCCACACCTCAATTAATGCTTTATAATACCCCGGACAATATCTAGTGAGTTTTGTGGCTGGCCTGGAGTGCTATGTGTGCTCCAATCAGACGGGCAACACGGAAAAGTGCCTCAACACGATCAAGACCTGCGAATCCTATGAGAATGTCTGTGGCACAGAGATTCGCTGGGGCAGCCAGCCATACTTCTCCGAGGGCGCACTCAAGCAATATTATGTGTCCAAGCGCTGCATGACCAAGGAGCAGTGCCAGTCCAAGCGGAAGCGCTACATGCAGCTCTACTGCACCCACATCTGGTACGAGGATTGGGCGTGCAACGAGTGCTGTCCGGGCGATCGCTGCAACTATTTTGTGATTGTGAGTGTACTCTCCGTAGAGGCTTGGCTAGTGCCTCCAATCTAACCCATCTTACTTGCAGAGTGGCGCTCCGGCTGGACAACGACAAGCCGTGGGTCTGACCCTGCTCATGACGCTGCTGGGCCTGGGTTCTTGGCACATTTCACGCTCTTAGCTGAACAAGGAATCGCTTATTCAACCTCCACATACGTTAGAACTGCAGGTAGAACTGTAAACGTTTGCCGTCCATTTATGTAGTAGATTTTAAAAGTGCCTTTGACTCAAAAGGGGGAATCAATTTCCCCATGGAATATTTTACACATTTTATACAAAAACCCTTGCGTTCTTAACGAGTAAGAAAAGCAGCAAAGAAAAGTTCGAATAAGCTCAATAAGTATTTTATAAAGTTCAAGCGAAGCTAATCTTGAATGGGATTCCCTTATAATCCACATTTAACCACACTTCTCATGTATTTTGAGCAGTTTTTTACGATTTCTGATACACTTTTTGACCCCATATCATATAGTAATGAGACAAACACTAGCATATCTTAGATAGAACCCGAGAAAATGCCTTATTATAGCTATAAAAATCTGTTTCCCCTTTCGAATCTCCAACCCAAGCAATAAAGACAACTATGGGCGTCTTTTTGGCGCTTTAATTAATATACGACTAATCCGTCAGACAACTCACAACTTGGCACAGAAGCAGCCGGCGGTGACGGTGACCGTCTCGAACTGCCACATCTGAGCCGCACTCCTCTCCTTGTTCATCCAGGCAGCGGCACGATCCGGCACCGTGGCCTGGGTCAGCACCTTCACCTTGTACTCCAGTGGCCTGCAATTGGAGCCGTGTGTGCACTTGGCATCCTGTGCGGGACGCGACTCGCACACGGCGTTCATCAGATAGCGCGGAAAGTGCATGGTGCCCAGGTCGAGCAGTACGTTCTAGAGCAGGGGACGGACAGAGACTGTGATTATCCGCGCGCTGGATGATTCGGGGCGCGCAACAAACCGTAACTTTGCAATCGCAGCCGGCATGATGGACATCGTTGCGCTTGGTGGTCAGCAGATCCTCGTAGAAATCGTCGTAGTACATTGCCGGCAGCTGCAGCTGATGGGGCATGGCCGCCGCTGTCTCTGTGGGATGGGGCGTTGCCTGGCCGAATCCGAACAGGGCGCTGAGCATCTTGGAAGTACTGCGATCCGGCTGCTCCTGTTCCTCCATATCCTCGTAGCCGCCACCATCGTCGCTGCCATAGCGACTGCCTGCGACTCCGATTCCGACTCCTCCACCACCACTGGCCAGGCAGAGCAGCGCCAGCGCCGCTATCGAAACGGGAAACTGCGAAAGACAAAACCCCTCAAGCAAATCTTTCTTCAGCTGTGAGCTGTCGCCTCGGGACTCACCCAGAGCATCCTGCTGGATCCGTGCCTGTGCAGAGCTGAACTCCTTGTGCGGCTCCCAGCAAGGAATCCCTGCTCTTTTATATGCCACTGGACAATGGCGAATGGCACGGAATGGAATGGCTCTCGGATTACCTTTTGTGGGTGTGTGTCGCAAGCGAAGCATCCATTATGGTCCCGTCACCTGGACGGCGTAACAATGACCCAACACAACTGTTGACACTATAACAATGGACTGGAGTCGGGCGTGGGACTGGGACTGGGACTCGAGAGTGGTCACTGGGCGGCTGATGGGGTTGAATCCTTTGGCTATTTATACTCCACTGCCATTCAATGGCCAAAATGGCTTTAAGGCCTCAAGTGCTGTGGCGTGTGGCGTGTGGAGTGGGGGTGGCGCTAAAGGAAGCCCACTGACCCAGACATATGTACGTATGCCCAGGCAAAAGGTCGGCTGTCGGTTCGCACTCTCCAACCAACCCCACCCAACACTTGTCGCCGCGAGAGTGCCAGGGTGGTGGGGTGGCTACAAATCGACTACGAAATATGAGTGGAGGGGGTGTGCGGTTTTAGGTAGAATTTCCCTGTGAATTTTTGTATTCAAATTGTGGAGGATTTTCCCGGCCACTCAGTGATCCCTAAGACATTCAGCTTTCTGCGCTTTAAGTTCTCTCTCAGCTTAGAAATATCCCAAATGATTTTATTCCTAGCACAAATAGAATTCTTTCTGTCTTTTACTTACCCCTAAATCCCAGCCTTACCCTTAAATATTCCTCCCCATGTGGGAGATGCTTTGGTTCCTGCTTGTGTCGTCATCTTCCAGCTATGAGCTCACTTACTCTCTCCGCCTGTCTATCTCTGCACTGTCTGCTGTCTCACTGGTCTATGCAGGTGCAGGGTCCGGCTAGAGCGACTTCTTCTGGCAACTACCACGGCTGCCACGGGTCAGACAGTCCGCGTGGGGCGTAGGGTGCACAGGCGAATGGGTACCCACTTTTAGGGCTTCCCCTCCGACGTCGAGCGGCACGCATTGGACTCCATTCCGGCTATCCCGCTCAGTTGAATACGCGTCGTCGTGGTAAGAACGTCGCTCGGGCCTACAGTTTGACACGCACACACACACATACAGTTTGACAGCCGCCTACTCTCAAACTGTAAAGTGGAGGAGGAGCTGCAGGCAGGGCAGGCAGGCAGGCAGCAGCAGCTTCCGTTACTCGTGCTTCCATCTTCCTAGAGATATTATCTCTTGGGAAAACTTCTCTCTTGTTGTTATTGTTGTACAGTTTTTCCGCTGCGGAATTTGTTGAGGCGGAAAAGCGAGTGGGTGCGAGAGAGGTGGCAAAAGGTAGCGGGAAGCCCTCAAAGTGTCGACGAAAATCGTTAAAAAATAGAATACGAAAAAAAACAGACACATTGCGACTATGTCAAGACTCGCTTGAAGACCGACCCACCGAACCAGCGGACACAGGCACAATAGCAGGAGGCGAAGGAGCCAGGGGAGACACACGGTCGAGCCACGGCAGACACTCGTAGAATTCTCCACATACCGAACCCACTCAGGATTCGCATGGAAAAAGGCACAATGAAGCGCAAGCAGAGGAGATACAGGTAGGGCACTCACCAGCTGATCTACAGAGCGAATTCAATCCTCTCTTCTAACTGTCGTTGATCCATAGAACCACCTTCAATACGTTGCAACTGCAGGAGCTGGAGCGCGCCTTTCAGCGCACCCACTATCCGGATGTGTTCTTTCGCGAGGAGCTGGCGGTGCGCATCGATCTGACGGAGGCGCGTGTGCAGGTGTGGTTCCAGAATCGCAGGGCCAAGTGGCGCAAGCAGGAGAAGATCGGCGGCAGCCTGGGCGACTACAAAGAAGGTTCACTGGATCTGGATGTGGCCTACGATGACAGTGCGGCGGTTCTGGGTCAATTGGACAGTGCATTGGGTGGGCATCAATCCCCTAAGATTCTTCGTTTATACTCCAGCTATTAATCTCTTTCCGCTCTCTCTCTCTCGCTGTGTAGGTGCTGGTGGTACTCTGCTGCCGGACACACCGCCGCAGTCATCCAATTCGCTGGACAACGAGCTGAAGGCGCCCTATGGCACGGGCGCCCTGTCGCCGTCACGGCTCTCGCCCAATATATTCCTCAATCTGAATATCGATCACCTGGGCCTGGAACGTGGCGGCAGTGGCTTGTCCATGGAGTGGTCCACATATCCGCCGCAGCAGCAACAGACGCAAACGCATCCGCAGATGGACTCCGAGCAGCAGCAGCAGCATCAGCACCCGCCTCAGCAGCATCAACATCAACATCATCATCATCATCATGAGCACCAACAGCAGCAGCAGCAGCATCAGAATTCTCAACAGCAACAGCAGCAGGAGCAGGACGAAGGACTGGAGTTTGCTGGCTGCTCCCTGGACCTGGACATGGCTGACGGGTCCTCCGCCTACGACGAGATGAAGTTCCTCAGCGTGGATCAGTTCACCATCGACAGCTTCAAGGCGGACTGCATACTCAGCATGGAGCAGTCGCCGCTGCCGCTGCCACAGATCGCGCCCTATGTGAGTCACGCGCCGCCACACCACCTCAGCTCCGGCGATTCCAATGGCCTGCAATCGCTGTGCCTCGACGGAATTAGTTCGAATAGTGGCCTGGGCATGGCCTCGTTCGGTGGCGGCCTCTCCTGCTCGCTGCTCTCCCACCACCAAGTCAGTGACGGTGATTCCATGCCCAAGGGTTCATCGCCGCCGCCATCGCTGCTGGTGCTGGACAAGACGCTGCCCTCGCTGAGCGTTGGTGTGGAGGGCATAGCCGATCTGGTTGAGCAGCTGCATCAGCATCATCATCATCATCATCAGCACCAACATCATCAACAACATCATCATCATCAGCATCAGCATGAGGCGGGGGCCAGCGATATCCTGTGAATCCAATTTAGGCGAATCAAATGCATAGCTAAATCTAATCTAAAACCTAAACTTAAACTTAATCTTACCGTTCGAGAGTGGAGCAGAGAGAGAGCAGTGAGAGCCGCTCTAGTTCTAGTTATATATTCTTGTTTTCTAGTCAATGTTCTAGTCGCATAAGTCGATAGCTAAGTTCCCGAACCAACAGAAAGTGGAGGAGGTACACTCACAGAAAATCAACGAAAAAACCTTATGAAGCTGAAAATTTTTGTAGCAAAAATAATATTTGTATGTATCAATATTTGGGCAAGGTTTTTTTGGAGTGTACATCACCTGCTTATCGCCTTTGTTTCCCCCCCTCCGTCCTGAAATATAAAAGAAACAGAACGTGAAATATTTCGAGACGAGAGTCCTTGACTACCTTTTTCGGGGGGCAGGCTCTACTATGGTAGCTTCTATGGATTCCCCTACATGCGGCACATGCGTTTGTGTGTGCCAAACAATGGAACAACCACAAACCCCAACCCCCGCCCCTTGCCGCAGCCCAAAACCAGAGCGACTCCTCCACCTTATATTTGTGGCTCGGATTAGAGGCAAACTAATTGTGCGATTTGAATGGATTTCGGGTTTCACTTGCTGTTTGTTCGGCAATAACATTTGCTTTGCTTTTTAACAATTGCCGTGCCGCTCCGCTCCGCTCCTCTGTGCTGTCCCCCCCCTGCAACACATTCATTGCTCTGTTGCCAGTAATTTCCATTTACCATTATTAGTGGGGCTCCCTGCGCCACTCTACTGCAGGCCCTAAGCAGTCTTAGCTGTGGGAAGAGACCCTGAAACCCTCCTCTCTGGAGTCTCTTCTGTGCTTAGCGTAGCAAAGCTTACGGGAGGAGCAAAGCGGAAAGCTGCAAGTGGGCTCGCAGAGGGTGGCAGCGCTGCAAGGGGTGTGGTGTGAGTGGCTTTAAGTGATGTTGCTCCAGTAGAAATCCCCAAAGCGGAGGTAGCGAAACTTGATCAGGCATTTGTGATGGAGGATTTCATGCGATAGTTCTAAGGGAATGCAAATGATAAGTGATTTTGATGTTTACATTTACTTTCAGAAATACGTAGAGCGTAAAAATAGTACGCTCCATTGTATTTATACGTGCTGCATAGCTTTTGGAAAACTTTGGTGTACGTATCGGTTAGATAAGATAATACAAAATTATGAACTTAGATCAATTCAGCTTCGGTTTTACGACGTGAAGCTTGGAACTTCGAAGCCAATGTCGGGAAAGATCTGAGCCGATTATATTTATAAAGGCGCGATAGTAAGGAATGTATAGTATCATGTATCGCTCACCAGTACTAAAAAAAAACAAATAAGTTGCCAAGTTATTGAAAGTTTATTAATTGTCATAGATAGAAATAATAAGGGATGAATTATACAAAAAAAAAAAATATATATATATTGCAAAAATCATCGAAAAAATTAGTTTTGATTTAAAGGTGCATACATACATATGTATATGTATTTACGTAGTAAATATGTATATATTTATAAACTTTTTATCTATTTGTATATTATAATATTTATATTTACATATTGCTTCTATCGGGACTATAATATTCGTTACATACTGTCGCAGTTCGTGTACCGCACGTGTGCAAGACAGAGTCAGCATGACACACCAGACGCACAGCTGACTGAAAGTATGAAATCTCTGCTGCTGCGCTGCCACCAGATCAACGACAGCGCACCGCAGCAGCTAAGGCAAGACAGAGATAGAACGATAAAGTTGTGTTAGTGCTGGTACGCCAGCACACACAGTCGATTCAAGGTGCATTTGTATGTGTATATATTTCTCTCGCTCGCACTGCATGTTTTTTCAAGTCTGGTCCAATTCTAGTGAGACGGGGACCAGTGCTGCCATTTTACTTATTTCAGGCTAAATTTAGAATTTTTAAAATGAAATTTAGCTTTTTTTTTATTTTAAATGAGGCTTGTTTAAGCATTAAATGTATAGCAACCTTGTTCATAAATGAACAAGTTTGGTAGGTCTAACGCCCTATTGTTTGGTTGCATAAAAAATTTGAATAAGCAAAATCCCTAAAATAAGTGATTTTATTTAAATTTAATATCAAAAGTGAAAAATTTAGCTGCCTAGAGAAAAATTTTTAAGTTGACAATTGTATTAGGTTTCTTTGTTTTTTGGTGTATTTAGGCACTAACCATCTGTAGGGGCTAAGCTTAATTTGTAGCTTATTAGTTTTCGGCTTTAGCCATTTTTGGCATATTTTTTTTTCAAATCTAGCTTTTTATTTACACTGTTATTCTGTCAGCACTGACAGCGACAGCTGGGCGCCCCAAACCAAAAGCTATAAAAGGCTCGACCCGACTGATTTCATTGTTCAGTCGAAATTTGTTCGCCGCTTGTTACATATCTCAGCTGGGGTTTTGCCTCGTTTTGGGTAGCTGAAAATAAAAATGGCATTCACTTCCATTTTGTTATCTGATATTATGCCTTTCTGCCTTAATAACCAAGAAAAACTCGTAGGAATCGTTTGGTGGCAGCGCCTGCTTCTGCTGGTGTTGCTGTTGCATCTGTGGTGCGGTCATCTGCACCACGGCTAAACTTTTACCGCAGCCTGAGACCGTACTCGCGTACGTCCTTCTTTCGGTGGCACATTTAGTTCATTAATACGGCGAACTGCCGCTACGCGGGAGCTCCAAAGGGTTACTGACAATGACCTGTGGCACTGAGCAGCCAATTCCTGTGGTCTGTAGCTCCAAGACTCCTCCGGTATATAGATCCAAGTCAACACTTGGCTGTAGCTCCAATTCAGCACTGGGCTGTTGTTTCTTCAGCAGTTCTCTCATCAGCTCATGTCTGATCAGCAAGTTGTTTATTTTTTCCGTTGTCTCATCAATCGGACTGAGATTATCCTGCTTCACAATTAACTCCTCCTGCACCTTGCTAGGCCAATACAGACGTACCCGCGCCACCACGAACACCAACAACTTGAACAAGGCAGGTTTGAGGCATAAGACCTGTGGCACTGAGCAGCCAATTCATCTGGTCTGTAGCTCCAAGACTCCTCCGGTATATAGATCCAAGTCAACACTTGGCTGTAGCTCCAATTCAGCACTGGGCTGTTGTTTCTTCAGCAGTTCTCTCATCAGCTCATGTCTGATCAGCAAGTTGTTTATTTTCCTTCCGATGTCTCATCAATCGGACTGAGATCATCCTGCTTTCCACTGATACATATTTCATTGAATCGACATTTTCTCTCTTAGATTAACAAGTTATCACTACTGCCTTTGTTACTAGCTTTGATATTGTATACAGTAACTTATTATTTTGCAAGCAGCTGTTGCAAATAAAAAGAAGTACTGTCTTACCGACATACATGTATTCTAACAAGAGATGGGAATGGAGCAACATTAGGCTGTTGGCGAAGGTTGGTCATTTACGGCTTACTAATCCAATCAAGTTACGATCACTAATGCTTATAAATAGCATTTGCACGAAAATACAGAAGCTCCCTATTAAGTGCTCGATTCGTTATGGCTCGCAGCAGGCTTTCATTTTGGCTGTGGCTCTTCGTGGCTATTGCATGTAGAAAGAATTATTTTAAGAGCTAGCGTGATTGCATCTTAAGCAAATAAAATTGATTTTTCTTCAGGTTTGTTCATACGTACATATATTTCAGTGTGTTGTTTATCTAAAAGTGTTTTTGGGTATGTGAAAATCAAATTAGTTATTATACAAATCACTTAATTAAGGACAAATGAGGAAGCCTATCAGCTTATAAGGTAATCCACCTGTTTGAGGAACCTAATCATGCGAGGAAGCCTATCAGCTTATAAGGTATCATGAATCATTTCATTTTCCATAAACTTTTTTTAAGAAATTTATGTTGACACAGTTGTACGCATTGCTAAAATCCACCGACGCGAATGATGTTTACATCATTTATGCACACCGCTGCTGATTCAATCTTTGATATGCTTATGACCTGTAGGGTAGCACATCTTTTTGCACGGATATATGCATGTATTTTTCCAGTTTTTTTTTATACCCGTACTCAAAAAAGAGTTAAGGGGTATTGATCAAGTGAGTTTTGGTACCTTCTGATATTGGCACTTTTTGCTAATAAAACTTTTCCTTTTCCAGCTTCAGGTCTTTGGAGGAGTCTGATGATTTTTTGAGTGACGTGGTCGGATCCTCGTTCTGGAGCCGCAGACGATTTGAAGAAGGTTGGAGCGAATACCTTGGTACAGCCCCAAAGTCAATTGCAGATGGTGTATGCCTCCGATTGTTGGGAAAAGGTGAGTTGGGGATCCAGTGGCCAGGATATTTCGACCACTACCCTGAACGCTTCTCAGAAAGCACAGTGCCACGCCTGCAGGACCAAGCATTCCTCCCACCATTGGCTTTTGGCGTTCCAATCACCAGCAATAATAAAAACTCTACCCAAAGAATCAAACAGCTCTTTGAACTGGACCTCAGTCCACTCGTATGTGGGTGGGCAATATATGGCAGCAACTCTCAGTGGGCCACCCTTTGGTCTGGGCAGTGAGATGGCAGCTATCTGGAGACGATCTTCCGAGCAAGGGAGCAAGCTGGAGTGCAATCACTTCCTTACGAGAACAGCTGCTCCACCTTGCCGGCGATTTGATGGGTGATTAGCGGTGTAAAGATGGTATCCGTCTATATTGATATCTGTGTTAGTATTTATATGTGTTTCGCACAACAAAAGTATATCAATACGCTGATTGGATAGAAAGGCTTCGACTTCCATGTGTTTATTGGACAGGCCTGCTGCATTCCAGAACGCTATCCTAATTTCCTGGGTCTTGTTAGGCATTTTGAGGGTCATTGACTCGTAACTCGGCAGGAAGGCGAGCAATGAGAACGCTTAGCATGTTCTCCAGCGATGCCATTCTTGCTTCCAAATTGGATCTAGGTTGCAGAGAGACAGAGGGGGATCTATTTTGCCCTTGATGTTTTGCAAGAAGGAGTGAGATAAGCTGATCCAATTTATGGCTGATGGTGTTTAAATTAGCATGGTTTGCTCTGCTTTGGCTACGATTAGTCGACTGCTGTCTATTGACTGACTGCTGTCTACGGGCAATGGATACATGTTGTGCTCTGGAGCGGGATCGACGTTGCTGCTGTTGGATTGCTGCTACATTTACTTGGCGACTTCCTCTGGCCACATCTGCATAGCTATGCTGGTTGACAGTTGGAGCAGGCCCTGCTTCAGAGCGCTGGCGACTTTTTTGGCGATGGCCACTAGGCTGGCGTTGTCGGCTTCTGTGGCGAGTTGAGGGCAGAGGTAGCACCGGCATGCCTAGTCCAGCCAGCAGCTTATTGGCGCGCTGTACCTCAGTTGGCGCTCTTCTGCTTTCTGCATTTTTGAAGGCAATGCAACCTCTGTAGCTGGCCGCATGGGCGCCTTTGCAGTTTGCACATTTGGCAGGCACAAGGGCAGATTTCTCACATAAAACCGTTTTATGACCCAGTCCGCACTTTACGCAGACAAACTCACTCCTGCAATATGCTTGCGTATGCCCTATACGCTGGCATCTATGGCATTGGACGACAACATTGGATCGTCTTTTAACTTCGACGCGTACCCGTTGTCCGCCCATATTGGTCAGCTTAAGAATCTCCACATTATTCTCCTTGGGAACCAACTCAACCTCAAACAGGTTCATTGCCTGACCAGTGTGTCTCCGCTTGAGCACATTTATGAACTTCACAGCGTGACCTGATGCTGTTAGTAGTTCTGTAATGTAAGCTGTGCCAGTGGAGTGATGAAGATCGCGAATGACGACCCTGTAGCCGCGTTCGGACCCAAGCTGGTAAGTGTATGACGGAATGTTCGTGCTTTCATCATCGAAGAATTTTCTCAGAGTTCTAAATGCATCAATGCTATTGCACATGATGCGTAATCCTCCTATTAGATTTGTGGTAAAAGTGGATGTGTGCAACGCAGAGAAGGAAACGTTTCCGACCCCATAAAGTATATATATTCTTGATCAGCATCAATAGCCGAGCCTATATAGCCATGTCCGTCTGTCCGTCCGTCTGTCCGTCCGTCCGTCTTGATGAGCGCCTGGATCTCAGAGACTATAAGAGCTAGAGAAACCAAATTTGGTTTCCAGACTCATGTGATATCACACTGCTACAAGTGTATTTCAAGATTTCGCCCCGCCCCCTTCCGCCCACACAAAGGACGAAAATATGTGGCAGGCACAGTTTTAAAGATACGATAAAACTAAAACCGCAGTATCGTAGAGAATGCCCATATCTACCAGATTGCCGAATCTGAATCAGATCGGATCATAATTATAGCCAGAATGAAGAAATTAATTTTCAGTTGCTTCCCCTCCCCCTCCCGCCCACGACAACGCAACTCATTTTCCTTCTCGCTCGCACACTCTGCCGCGTTCAGTGCGCGAGCAACCCTAGCGGAGGAGATGTAGAATCTAAATGGTACATGTAGAATATACATGTTAGATGTATAATATACATAATATATGTAGATGTAGATAACAGATGTAGCAAAAAAAATTTTTTTTTTTAAGTTGTAAATAATTATATGCTTAAAAATGTATATGCTGACTGAGTACGGGTCGTAAGAGTCGCGTCCCCAGAAGCGACTCACACGTTCCTTCTCGTTGTTTATGATACCGTTACCAGTTTTGGCCAGGAACGGTGTCAGGGATATGGGGCGAAAATTTGTAATATCTGTAACATCTCTGTATCTCTTAGGTATGGGTGTAATTTTTATATATTCTAATAAAAAATAAAAAAAAAAATAAAAAATGAGAAAAGCAAAAATGAAAAACTTAAAAATTAAAAAAAAACTGTCTGTCCGTCAGTCGTGTCATTCGCCTAGTTCTCAACGACTATAACATTTCCAGCGCAGCAGCGCTTACTCATTCATTCCCTCGCTCACATACTCTGCCTCGTGCAGTGTGAGCCCTCTGGCGGAGGTGAACAGATCGAATATTTTAAAATTCTACAAAGATCATAAGCTATACTGTCTGAGTACCGGATATAAAAGTAGAGCCGCGACATATGCGCGCGACTCACAACGTTCCCTTTCGATTTCGTTGAAGTCATTGCTCCCGAAATTGCTCGTGTCGTTGCATGTACAATGAGTACAAAGAGCATGCGGTGCTTCAAAATATATAGATTGTAAAGGTTACATCAATCATAAGCTCACATACATATGTATGTGTACATACATACATATGTATATACTGACTGCATACCGTGTATAAAAGTAGAGTCGCGGCCCTTGTCGGCCGAAAGTGTGATAAGATAAGCATACAGATAAAGACTATCTTTGCACGCAAGAAAGAGAGTATAGAAAGCTTCTATAAGCCCAAAGGACAGTTTTTTTGCGCTGGCAGCAGAAACTGCAGTTCCATTCCAGAGAGCAGAGCGTTGATGTGCTAGAGAGTCGTGTAAATTATCCGAATAGTTTTTATATGTAAAACCGTTCATTGAAGTGCAATTATTAATTTATTATTTTTTTGTTTGTTATATTAATATAACATGCAATTAATACGACATTTAACTAATAAATTTTAATTCTAAATTATAATATAATAAATTAAATTTGAAAAAATCGAATCGTGCATATGCATGAATCACTCACTAAACAAGTAAAAGCTTTTCCAGCGAAACAAAAAAACGAATACAAAGATAAAATATTAATAACCGCCTGAATGGAAAAAAATAATATTTTGTTATTGTAACAAATCAAACGCTGTGATTAAATTAAAATGAGCCAAGTTAGCATTTTAATATTGCCAATCGAGTGCTTCTATGAAATATTTAAGTACATAAAAAAGAACTGCGAGAGAGACCGACCAGATGCCACTGACGACATCAAGTATGATGATCTCATTAGCTTTACCGCTTGCTGCGAGCCTATTCTCCATATGCTCTCTGAATGGGATCTGCATCTATTTAATAAGATTTCGAAGTTTGTGTCCCTTAAGATCAGCATAATTCACATCGACTTTGAAAAGTTGTATAACCGGCTGAAGGCAAAGTCAGCAAAAGACAAGGAAACCTATTGGGCCTTCCTCAGCCACGCCATCAGGCGTTCGACCGGTATCTTATTGCTTTACGCTCCCGAATCATTCCACAGGGATCACTTGGAAACGTTTCAAACCGTGATAGGTCAACTCCAAAACAAGCCAAATCTGAAAAGGTTGTGTATTGATGTGCGGGGTGAGTATTATTCGTACAAGACTCTAGATTCTAAGACTCTACATTGTTATACCCGTACTCAAAAAAGATTTAAGGGGTATATTAGATTTGTGGTAAAATTAGAAGTGTGCAACGCAAAGAAGGAAACGTTTCCCCATAAAGTATATATATTCTTGATCAGCATCAAAAGCCGAGTCGATATGTGATGTCTGTCTGTCCGCTGCCCTGACGCCTGGACCAAAGACTATAAGAGCTAGGGCAACCAAATTTGGTTTCCAGACTACGATATCACACCTAAAAAGTGTATTTCAGAATGACATACCCCCTTCCGCCCCCCAAAGGACTGAAAATCTGATGGCAGGCACAATTATAGCCAGATATGAAGAAACTTTTCTGTTGGTTCCCCCGCTTACTTGCCCAGACCTACTGCGCCAAATTGATCGATAGATCTTTTGCCTGAACAAATTAATTTTCAGTTGCTTCCTCTGCCCCCTCCTGCCACGCACCGTGCAACCCCTTTTCCTTCTCGCTCGCACAACTCTACCGCGTTAGAGTATGCGTATAACCCTATACATTGGAGATGTAGAATATGAATGGAAAATGTAATATGTAAAATTTTTTTTTTTTTTTTTAATTTCTAAAAAATCATTCGCTCAAAAATGTGTATACTGACTAAGTACGGTAATAGTAGAGTCGCGTCCCCAGAAGCGACTCACACGTTCCTTCTCGTTTACATTTGTAACAAAAAAATTTGTTTATTTTCAGGCTACACCCTAGAGGGCCTGGGAAGACTTAAAAGCCTCGAGAAACTTTATTTAGATATTCGGATGGATATTGATGATTTGATTGAGATCTGCCGCATGAACAAAAACTTGCGCATTTTGTCGTTTATGAATAATGAAACGGGCGGAAAGCGGCTGGCCGCGATAGCTGAGCATTGCGAACAGCTGGAAGAACTCGCCTTCAAAATGAGACCCGACTGCGATGCAAGCGAATACAGGCCCTTGGCTAAGATTCCCAGACTGGAAATCATGGAAATATCAGGCGTGCACGAGAAGGGCACTCTTCAGCCTTTGCTGCAAGGATTGGCCGCCAATCAGAGCAAAGTCCTTAGTGGCTTGTCCATATACGAAGCACCACTGGACCACAATGAAACGCAGGCCATGGCCCAGATTGATACATTAACTCAAGTGGAGTGTGGATTTGACGATCCCCAGAGCATTGGCCAGTTGTGCCAACTGCCCCATCTCAGCCACTTGAAGATACTGTCCAAACACGATTCTAGGGCAATATCGGAGCAAGTTCTCAGCCTTCTAGTGAAGTCCAAGGGGAAAATGAGGATTGAGCTAAACAATTCGTCAATTACATACGGACCAAGTGGAGAACTTACGCTTGATATGAGAGAGGAGAATGCGAATGCGAATGCGAATGCCTGCGACTTCAGTCCCCTTTTGACTCTGACAGGTTTTACTTTGCTTAAGATTTACAGATCGCCCCAAGTTGTTTCACTTAAGCCGGTTCTCAATGGATTCAGGAACGCACCCACATTGACTGACTTATCGTTGGGAAATATCACGGCAGAGGAAAGCGCCGCAGTATCTGAAATCGTATCTCTGAAGCGATTGAATTGTGGATTTTTCGAAACACAAAATGCTGAGCTCCTGGCGCAGCTACCCGTGCTCGAAGCATTGACCATTACAGCTGTGCCCTCATGCCCAGGATCCCTCAGGTGCCTCCTGTCGGCTCTGGCTTCGAGGGAGTCGCAGACACTACATAAATTGTGTTTGAAGAAAGTAATTACTTCCGTGGAGGCAAAGGAGCTGGCCCGCCTGAGTTCTTTGCGAACTTTGGAGTGTCAGTTGGCTGATCCTCTGGACATTCAGCTTCTGTCCCAACTAACCAAACTCGAAAAGTTGTACCTTTATGCCAGTGAAATGTTAGACAAGATATTGCCTGGTGTCCTTACAGTTACAAAGTCCTGCAAAAAGTTAGCTGAAATTCATATAGAGTGTAAGCCAGACCACTCCGGCCACGTCGACGAAAAATCGTCTAAAATCGTCATCGAAATGTTGCAGGGCTGCCAAGATACGATAGATATATACATCGAGAACGAGAGAATATCGTTCAATCGGGAAAGCAATAAGCTGCACGTAGAAATGGATTTTTTTAAACGAAATAACCTCGCGATCGAATCTTTAGCCCGCCTTGAATCTGTAAGCCATATGGAAATAAAAGGATACCATGCAGCTGGCTCATTGAGAGAATTCTTTGCCGCCCTAGCGTTGAGAACTAAACACGATCTACAGAGTCTGTGCATACGCGACAGCTCGCTGGACTTGAGTGAGACTACGGAATTGGCCAAGATTACTTCCTGGAAGTGCTTCACGGGCTGTCTCTCCGATAGACAAAGTTTCCAGCATTTACTCCATTTAAGCGATTTCAATGTTTTTGAAGAGAGAACTGGCAGCAGGTTTGTAAAAAAATCTTAATTCGAACGCAAATTCTATTCTATTCTCTCCATTTATCCCTTAGAAAAATCACGTTCGATAAGTTCACTGGGAAATTGAGTGTTTCTCCATTTAATGTCAGGTTAGGCAATGGCTTACCCAACGGCATGGGACTAAGTCCCCTGGCTAGCCTGCAGAATTTGCGGCAAGTTATTATTTCTGGCGTCTTCGAAGATGGCGCCATGCTTAATTTCTTCGGACAGCTGGCCACGTATCAAGGCCAGACTCTGCAGGAACTCAGATTGGACAATCCTTACGAAATGTGCAATGAAGAGCTGAGGGAAGTGAGTAGAATGAAGTCTCTCCGATCCCTGGCCTGCGGGCTATCCCCCCAAGTTCAGGACATGGAAATAGAACAGCTGGCTCAGCTTCCCCAGCTGGCAGTGCTGGTTGTTGGCTCCCATCGAGTGGGCTCCCTGAAGAACCTTCTTGGCATGCTCGCCGCCAGAGAGTGCCCCACACTAGAACATCTGGCTGTGAGGGGCGAAAGTCTCACCCCCCTAGAGGTAAAGGAAGTATGCGCTATAAGTTCCCTGAAGCGACTCGAGTGCGCATTCTGCAGCACAGAGGGTGTCGATGTATTGTCACAGCGAAACTGCATCGAGCATCTGGGCATAAGAACTGGCAAAGGTGAAGCCTCTCTGGTAGATCTGCTCACTGCTTTTGCATCTTCTGGCGAATCAAATATTCAGAAATTGACTATCGATGGTCCGGCAGTCGATCAGGAATCAGCTACCGCATTAAGTCTTGTTCTTCGAATTCCGAAACTAAAGTCCCTGAAGCTCCCAATCAAAGATACCCAGGGCATTGAGGGATTGGCCGAATCCTTGCACCTCGAAGAGCTGACAATCTCCTCTAGCCCCGAAGAAGGTTCTCTAGAAAGGCTCTTCCGGGCACTTTCACTGAAGCATTCAACCAAATTAAAGAATTTGGTTGTGGAGAACACTTCCATCGGCCTTGAAGAGGCCCTCCAACTCGTGCAGGTGGATTCAATCACAAGCCTAAAGTGTGCATTCAAAGATGAGGAAATCTACTCGCTCCTGCCTAAAATGACTAATCTCGAGAGTCTGGAAATCACTTCGCAACATACATTTTTAAATATTTCTGGGCATCTGCTTGACATCTTTCGAGAGTGTCGAAAACTTAAACATATTAATTTGGGAAATGAATACTGCTACTCGTTTCCTGGCTTCGTGAAAAGTTCACTGGACATACTAAAATCGGTGAGAGATCCCTCAACTCAAGGTCCATTGGAGATGCAGATTAACCATTCACCTAATGGCTTAGTAGACGAGGTAAGCTAAAGGTTTATACCGCATCCAAAAATTATCAATTTGTGCTTTCAGATGACTGCCAACGATAAAAAGTATTTGATTTTCATCCATTAGAATCATTCGTGGATGAGAGCAAGGGAGAGAGCGATGATCAGTCAGAAAGTTGGTCCTTAAATTAACCAAAACTATCTTCCATATACAATTTTTTTTTGTTTTATTGGATTATGGTCCCGTACAATAAATAAGTAGTTATATAGTAGTGTTGGCGACCCCACGCTCACCCGAGCGCACGGGTTGTTGCGGCAACCCCCGACACCCGCCCGGGGGCCCCATGAGCTCGGGGGCCTTGGCCAGCCTGGCTCGGGGCGCCGGCCGGGGCGGCGGGGGGCGGGGCGCGGCAGGGGGGGGGGCAATGTGGCTGATACACTCGGATATAGGCATTATATATTTTATATTTTCTCGCATTTAAATTAATATTTAAGTTGTGCATGCCACAGAAATTATCACCGAAATATATTTCTTTATTATATTATAAATATATATTTTTTCTACTCTTCCGTACGGACCTGCCACATTTTTGTTTAACCCACACTGCAATTGAGGCGCGGCTGACTGACTCTTGAGATGTCCATGGGATCGTTGATGTTTTTTTATCAATCAAAAACCATTCCATTTAAGCTTAAATCCGGAAGTGATTTAATCAAGTTATGGTCCCTTGAATGCCTAAGACTCTTCCGGCGGACTCTGCAAAGCTGCATCCTGCTCGAGTCGGAATTCACGACGAAGAGCACTACGGAAAGGAAAGCTGCAGGAGTAGGTAGGGTGTGCCGCGCCCAGGCGTGTGGGCCGCGGCTCAGCTGGCTTAACACCTTGGCAAGCTCCTTGTGGATTTTCAGAGGCCAAGGGCCACCTAATGCTGCTGCCTCTGCGTGGGCATATCCACATCCTCCTGTGTCCTGCTGCCTGCTGTCAGCCATTTTGCGATGACAATGAGCTAATTGACGGCTGAGGTGGATGCCCCAGCGGGTGGGTGGGTGTACGTGGACTGGCCGCAGAGATACCACGCCCCAGACACTGGCCCAAAAAAAAAAAAAACTTCATTATCCCCGGACGGGGGTTGACATCCGACATCCGACTGGTTGCCATTGGATAATCCTCACGTTATGAGGAGGACGCACCGAGGCGCAGTGGATATTTCGCTATGGGATTGCTGCATTCCAAGGGGTTGTCTGCCAATTCCATTCCCATTCCCATTACCAACCAACCTGCTGCTGGCGCCCGCTCCTTCTGCTTGTCCTGTCACATTTAAAATTAATCGAAAATCTTTTCTTCGGTATTATTGCGAGCACTCGACCGCCCCCCCCCCCCGGCGACTGTGTGCACAAGGACCACAAACTTTAATCGATAGTCAAATAAGGGAAGACATGAGAGAGCACAGAAGGGCAGAGCACACGGTACATGTGTGTGTGTGTGTGTCGTACGTTTGGCATAAGGACACGGCGTCCTGCCTGCTGCCTGCTGCCTGCTCCTTGCTCGGCTTTTGTGCTGTAATTTCTCTAACGTTTGTTTATATTTTATATCGAATACGCCGCGGGCCGCATAAACGCAATAATCGCACATTTTATGGATTAAACTCACCTGCTCCGCCTGCTAATCTACGACCAGACCAGGTTCGTGCCCTCGGGGCCCAATAGCATGGGTCAACGTCAGCCCTGCGCCCAGCCCAGATAGTCTTTAATTTGAGTGTTGAGGTGTCCGAGTACCCTGGAAACCGTATCGTACCGTACCCATATTGCTAAGGATTATGCCGCTCTGCTGTGTGGGGTTCTAGTTGGAAGGCCTCTGGATAACCTCGCAGCCAAGATTAGGGCTAGATAAAATTTGTCTGCATTTTGGATCACCTTGTTTGTGGCATTGTGTGACATATTTCCGCGCCAACATAACGTGTAACAAACAAACAATATATGAAAAAAGCAGAAATATCCATCATAATTCCATCTCTATACGTAATACATTTCCCCAAATAATTTCACATTAGTCATGGCTGGGAAGGGGGTGGGGGTAGAGCAGCATTCATGAGTCTTCTCATTGGATTCCCAATGAGTTATTCATTATGCATATGCATTCGATGCCCCACCTCCGGCCGGGGACAATATTAAATAATGAAATATTAAAATCGAATGTGACTGCAAATTACTCCTTCCGTTTCCCCATTGCTCTCCTCTCCTCAGCCGCCTGCTGCTGCTGTTGCTTGTTGCTGCTGCCATTTCCGTTTCCGTTTCGATCCCAGAGGAGGTGTTCATGTGAATAAATTGCAATTAACAATATTTTTATTTCAACAAACGAAATGTGGGCCCCCCTACTCTGCCTCTCCTGCTCCGACGCCATTTCCCTTTTTGGAACCGAAAAAAGTCAGAAAAAAAAAGGTGTAAAAGGGTGAGGAGCTGTAGCAGCGAAGCGGAAGGGGGGAGTTCATTTAATTAAAGGCAAATTTAATGGGTAAATATTGCATGTGCTACACACACACACACACATACACACACGCGTCAAAAAGCGGTTGTAAAAAAAATATATATATGTATGTATGTATGAAAAAAGTGTATTCATATACATTACATATGTATACAGTGCGTTTCAAGCGTATAAGCTAAGTGACAGAGTGACAGAGTTATATGGAAAAGTCAGTGGGATGAGAACACACAAAAATATATGGAAACCATTTTCCCTTGCAACACACACATTTTTCTACATTTTTCTACATTTTTTCGAGTTGTTTTCTCGACCTTACAGCTATGTGCCACACTGTACTTAACGCTTAAATGTATAATTTTTATTTTAAAAAGAGCGAGAACAACTTTTGCTCTGTTTGTGCTGCGTGTAAATAAGAGGAAAGTCAGGGGAAGAGTCAAATGGATGGATGGGAGGGGGGGAAGTCTATATTAAATTTCGTGTTGAACGACATAAAAAAAAAATAAAATTATGCGAAGCGTGCACTAGAAAAACAAAAGAAATACGAGAATGGGAACACACCAAAAAAAAAAAAAGAAGGAAAGAAAGAAAAGAAATCAGAAAAATTAATAGAGTGCAAATATTTGTAGATTTTTACACGAACTATTAACGGAGCGCAAACAGAGGACGAACATAGGCCCGATCCCCGGGATTCGATGATTCGGGTATTGCAGATTGCGGGTAGTAATTCGAGATCATATCAGAAGGAAGGGCATAAAGAGTGGATAGGATAGGACGGCGAGGGTATATTTAGGCATAGGCCTATGCAAATACACAGCGAAACAGGGCAATGACAGGGCACAAAACAGCAACTGGCCAAAAGAGAAAATGGTGGCAAACAGCAGGCGATATTGTAGATAGAGAAAAAGGAGAGAGCCCCCACAGCCTCAGACTCAAGTCGCAGGATAGAGAATAAATTTGAATTTGAATTTTTGACCATCGATTGGGCTCGCTCTTTGGGCTCTTTTGTACTCCACTGCAATGGCCAAAAGGAAAATAACAAGATGGAAACTTTGCCAAAAATAAAATACAAACAACACACAGAACAAAAATTGAGTGAAAAACAAGTAAAAAAGGACACAACGACACAGAGTCCAAAGCATTTGGCCACAGGACAATTTTGTCAGTGCGATTGCAAAGGGGTGTGGACAAGCTGCTGTAACAAGTCAACCAAGTGGAACTAGTGCACTGACAGAAAATTATAGACGTATGGTATTTCGAGGGAAATGTTGCTAAAGAAAGTCTCCAAAAAATCGTAAAAATTCCATCAATCTAACGTGAATTATGCATCTGCTTGATGCCATTCAGTTTGGACAGGCTCAGTTGACTTCCCTGAGTGTTTCCCTTCTTGGCACTAATCCCATGTAGAGGCCTAGAAGTTCCGTGATCCATGGATCCCAATCTGGCAGCGGTTCATTTTATTGATGAGGCACTAAAACTCTTCTGACGAAAAAGAGGTTACCAAAATCTCTTCAACTTTTCCCCAAGTGTAAGAAAGTGTTGAATCTCTTTTATTTTGCTCCCAAATGAAAATTTCCAACAAATGCCAAGAGACGACATGCAGATACACATATACAGCTACCATTTTCGCCCCCAAGAGAAGACACAAATAGAATTTTGCCAGCTGCCCTTCCATCATTTCCATTTGCTTTGTGTGTGTGTTTTTGGCTTGTCTGCAAATTGATTGGAGGCGAAACCATTGAAGTGTCCATCGAAGGATGACCATTCTTCGCTCTGGGTGTCTCCTATTACCTGGCTGCCCTGATGCTCTGAAACCTCAGCAGGTGTGAAAACCTCTCTCTGGGTCTTCCCACTTATCGATGAAAGTTTTTGCCAAAACCCCAAAACAAAATAAACTTTAACAATCATTTTTCTTTTTGAATTTTTGGCGAGTTTTCTGGGGGATTTATTTTAGGTTTTTCTCTTTAGGTTGTGTGTGTTCGTGTGTGTGTGTGTGTGTGTGTTTCAATAAGTTAGGTTTAACATTAGAATTAATCGTTGGAGGAATTATTACACTTGCTTCCATTTTCATTATTTATGTATATCATGTAATCGTTTATCGTGGTGTTTTTTCTTTATTTTTATCGAGAGTTTTTTTTTTTAATCTTTAGATGCAATTACAGGACACAGCAAACAATTACGACAAAATCCATTCATTCGCGGTAAACACCAATCTCACACTCAGACATCTACATATATTTATATATATATTCTATATAATTTAGTGACTGTACAGATTTTACTATATATATATATATATTTTAGGATACTTTGCTAATACTCCAACCACTTCGCTTTCTCGTTTTTTTTCGCTTAAGAACTTAGTAACAAAAAATACTTAAAAAATCTTCACATTTTTCTATATACAAAACAAAAGCACTAGCAACATATTACTAGATCTTAGAGCTATATCTATATGTACAGTGGGTGTTGTGGGTGTTTGGCCACGATTTAGGCCACCTCCAGATCGGAGGACTCGTCCGCATCGCTGTAGCCATTGGGATCGCTTTTGATGTGCACCATTTGGGCGGCATAGTGCTCGACGCCGGGATGCTGCTGCTGCTGCTGCTGCTTGGGGCCACCAGGCGGCGAGCCAGTGGTGCTGCTGCTGTTGGCGGTGCCACCACTGCCTGTGGTATTGTTGGTGGTGCTGCCACATTGCTCCTCCTGCAGCTTGCGTAGGCGCTCCTGCTCCTCCCGTTTCTGTTTGCGCCACTTGGCCCGACGATTCTTGAACCACACCTGCAAGAAACAAGAGCGAGAAAAACGTGGATTTAGTTGATGGAATTCAGTGGGTGGATTGGGTGGCTTGGGTGGGCTTGGGTGGAGGTGGATTCGCTGCCATGGTTACTTTTGACTGAGCGCGGGGCTTCAAAAACACTTTCATCCGTTTTGCTCGTAATTTCTGCTCTCCTTCTGCCTCTGCTCTGCCCCTTCCCACCTTCCACCGTTCGGTGGATTCTTTTTCCATAAATATTTTAAGTAATTTTTTCGCTCTCCATCTTTTCTATGGCTTCCCCACGGAAGAGGGGTTTTTATCTTTGGACAGTTGCCAGGGCCAGGGCCAGGGCCAGGGCCAGAGCCAAACCCCCACCCACCCTCAGTCAGGCGCTTAATTAGATGACTTATTGTAATTGTAATTAATTGTGTGGAGCAAAAGGAAAATGTGGGAAGAGAAGAGGGTCTTTCTGGCGTGGAAAAGTCAAGTCAAATGGACAGGGTGCTGAGAGTGCTGGGAGAGGGTGTTTATTTCTCATTCAGGTTTTTAGGCAAGCGAAAAGCAGTAGAAAACTTCTTCATATTTAGGGTAGCAAAAAGGGGAATTGTTGGGGCTGTAGGGAAAGTGGGAAGGGAGCTTCTCATAACTTCTTTTTTGAATTAAACATCCAAATAAATTTTATATATTTTTTCTGTGAGTAAAAACAATGAGTAGCAATGGGTATAATGAACAGAGCATTTCTCTCAGTCTCGCTTACGCTTTTTCTTTACTTTGTCTTTAGTTTCTGCATTTTGCTGGTTTTCGCTTTTTTTTTGGGGCGCTTTTTAATTAGGCTTTGGCCACACCCACAAACCCCCGGGAATGTTTCTTTCGCTACACTCTTAGCCCACCCACTCATCCATTTTCCGCCACCTCTTACATCCCTTTTCCGCCACCTCTTACATCCCACTTCCTGCCCCCTCTTACATCCATTTCCGCCCCCACCTTCCACCCATTTACCGGCCTCCTGCTACTTAGTTAATTAAAACAAAAGGCGGCTGCGAAGTGGCTTAGGGGTTAACTTCCACCCAGGAGAGAGTGAGAGCGAGAGAGAGTGGGTATGAGGGGATGTTGGGGATGGTATCTGTGTTGTGTAATCACCCTTGTGGACAGCGCTATATCATCATCAACTGTGTCTTGTCATTAGCCCCCCTACCAACACACACACCAACACCCGCACCCACTCCCCCACTCACTCCCACAGCCCAATCTCCTGTCCAACCGTAGGCGGGGTCTTCTCTCTCTTTTCTACGCTTACCACCCAGCCCTTTGCCCCCACTCTCCCTCGCTCGCTCACTCTACTGCTCTGCTGCTCTCCTGCTCTGCCTCTGTCCGTTTTGCCCAATCCGAATGCAATGGTAAAACATTTTGCAACCCCTATTTGTTTATTTGTCTGTTTGTTTGTTTGTTTGTTTGTTGATTATTTGTTGAATAAATACTGTGAATATTGTTGGGCAAAAACTCAATTTTGCCGACGTGAAAATTGCGTGGGCCAGGGCAAAAGTTTAATTAGAACAATTAGCAGTCGCTCGGAGAGAAGTTGATTTTCCACAATGTTATCATTCCAGGGGAAAACTTTTTTTGTGTGGCAGGGAAATGGAAATGGAAATGTTTATGCAGCAAATCGACTGAATTTGTTGAAATAACAACGAAAGGGAAGCGGAAAAGCAGCAAAGCAGCAAAGCAGCAAAGCCGGAAACGGATGTGGCAAGCGGCAAGGGCCAATGACACTGAAGTGGCGTCTGTGGCGGCTAAACTTAACTACAGATTCCCCTCCCACTGCCCCTCCCACTGTTCTCTTGAGCTCATTTTCATTTAAGTTTGCATAAAATTTGTGTAAATTTCTGCAGCTGCTCCAAGCACCAGAACCAGGCAGGAGGTCGCTCCTCTCTCGCTCTTCCTCGCTGGCTTATTTGCTTAGGATGGATGGATGGTTGATGATGAAATGGTTTGTGCCACAAAATGGCGACGCTGCCATTCCCGTGGCAACCTTTGAAGCCAGTTGGCAGCCCTGATTAACGCTCATTGTTTGATGTCCGTTTCCGCCTCGTTGCAGATGTCAGGTAGTTGTCGTTTTATATATTTCAAATATATATCACATTTTTTTTTTCCACTCTAATTTAATTAGATTTTTGACAGTACTCGTACCCCCCGCTAGCACATCTACTCTTTTAATTCTGCATGTTTTTGTGTGTGTGTGTTTTAGTTATTTATTTTCATAATTTTCATAATTTTATGAGCTTAAGTTATTAAAACAACAAAACATACACTGAAAACGCGCGCGTTTTGTGCGCCTGTAGGCGCTGGGCAGGGCAGGGCAGGGTTTTGGGGCATGGCTGCAGCCAATGAATTTGTGATTTAGTCAGCTTAATTATGTCAACACATACATATATGTATGTATGTATGTATACAATGCCCGACTAATTAGCTATGCAACCATTTTAATCCATAAAATCTAAAAATACGTCAAAAGAGAAAAAAAAAACGGTCTGAAAAAACCGCACAGGCGTTTTTTGCCGCCCCCCAAAAGTCTGGTTGATTGCATTTTTGGGATTTGCGCATTATTAAAGTTGCATATTTTAATTAAATTGTTAGCCAACCAACCGCATTGAACCCTAATCCGGTGGAACTATATAGCCCAAGGGGCACTGCGGGATGCGGGCTTTTATGGCGTGTGCGGCAAAAAACGCGCGCGCTCTCACTGCTAATCCCGTAATTTGTACGGCCAACATACGGCCGCCCACTCGACCGTAGAGTGGTGATCCCCCACCCCCTCAGGAGAGTGTGTGTGTGTGTGTGTGTGTGTGCGCCTCTCCATCCGTTTAAAATCTGACTAACGCACAACAATTTTGGCAACGGGCCGCGGGCGCCTTTTTTACCGCTTTCGTGCTGCTGTGCCAAAAATCGCAGTGAAAATTTTTCGGTGAAAATTAAATAAACAAAGCCGCAAAAAAGATGGAGACAGGAGCGTTGCGGTGCGGTGCGGTGGGTGGGGAGGGGGCTGCCACTGCGACTGTGGCTGATTGATGGGCAACAAAATGGCGCCAGGGACTTGGCACGCCTTGGAGGCGTGTGCCACCGTTACACGCCACAGCGGCAGAGCCACGGCAAATATTTCCACAGATTTTTCATCCAAAAGCGCATAAATCGCTGATACGGCCTGAAATCCTGCCGTGTGGCAAGCTGCTCTGTGCGGTAGCTTTAGTGTTGCTTGGTGAAGGGGGGCATGGGGCATGGGGCATGGGGCAGTGTGTGTGTGTGTGTGGGCACAGACATTGGAAACGTGCATGAAATCCATTGAACAAACAGACCGACGGCAGTTGATTTTTAATTAACTACAAAAGCGCTTTACGCTCGTCCCTCGGCCAGACGCTTGCGCCCACAGGGGGGAGTTAACAGAGAAACGAAAAGAGATCGGCGAGAGGAGAGGAGAGCAGATAGACGGTGGGACTCCTGACCATCGTCCATCATCTGTGTTATTGCAGCGTGGAAGGGAGACAGCAAGAGTCAGCAGTGCCGTTGCTGACTGTTGGATTACAAACCCAAAAATGATGCAGTCCGGCATGAAATGTTGCAACAATGTAGTTACTGAGTTGCATGATGCTATGATAACTTTGCGCTTCGTTAATCGCTGCAGCTGCACCTGCTACACACGCTCGCTCTCTCTCTCTCTCTCTCTGCCTAATATTTCCAGTATGTTTTTACAGCCACAAAAATGTCCCCAGCGCCAAAAATATCGCAAATGGCAAAAAATACTAAAAATTACTGCAGCCAAAAAGGGAGAGCGCAAGAGACAGAGAGAGAGAGAGCGAGTGCGTGCGTGGGTGGGAGAGATGCACACTCTACACGAAGAGTGTTTGTGCGGTGAGGAAAGGCCCCCTCTCGCACGCTGCTGGAGGCAACACAAAATGGCGGCTGCCTTTTGCCAGTCCGACGGCTCTAATTAGTGAAAATTGGCAACACAAGTCGGTCGGAAACTTCGTCACCAACCAAAGAGTGGTGCCTCCTGCGCTTGCCATGCCATGCCATCAATCCACATCTCGCCCTCCCTCCATTCCACCCTTCAGCGACTGTTGTTGGATTAAAATCGCGCAGCCATGAAAATTGCTCGTTACGCACATTCCCTTTGCCTTTGTCGCAGCAATGGTAAGGAGCGGAGAGGAGAGCAGGGGTACGAGGAGTGCGTGCCAGTGAAGGGTTAAGTGCATGTGCACTAATTAAAGCAAAGCGCAACCATGCACCGCCGCCGCCGCCGCCGCTGCTCTTACATACGTGTTGGCACTTACTTGCTGAGAAAGAGAGCAACGTAAATTCTCTCAGCTTTAAAATGACAGCTGACAAGCGACTCTCTCTTCAGCAGATAAAAAAAAAAACAGAACGATCGCGTTAGCGTAAGCTTCAAAAAATACCACCCACGCCAAAGGGATTAGAAGAACGCGTTAGTCCAAAAAAAGAGTGGGAAAACAGACACAGCGGCGGGAATGTTTTGCGTGAAAAGTGCTCGTGAACTTTTTTTTCTTGTGATTAAACTGTGTAATAGTTAATAATAAATCAAAAACTGTGCGTAGATGGCATAGAAGTGTTAAAGTGTTAGAAAGAATCAACGAATGCGTTTTTTTAGCAGCAAGTGCGTTTGGGTGCTGCAAATGTGCCTTAGGACTCCTCGCCGGGTGGAGAGCAAGTAAAGGAAGAACGGCTGGATCATGTGAATCCATAGAAACATTGAGAGCTCTTCGCTAGATGTATGTATTGCCGACCATCGCATTGTGTTATATTATAATTGTGTTAATTTAAATAGTCTAATATTGCTAACGATTGCGAAGGAGGCGTCCAATTTCTGCTCGCGGATGCGTGCATGTTTTTCTGTCTCTTTGAATCAATCTTACAAAATCTCTCTCATAAATACATTTAAAAAGCCTCTCAAAATGTCAGAGTTTCCGCTCAAGAAAAACCATCAAAATTAATAAATTTTCAACCAAAAAAA